TCTTGTACCATACAGCTGTCTCGTCCTGTATCATACAGCTGTCTCGTCCTGTACCATACAGCTGTCTCGTCCTGTATCATACAGCTGTCTCGTCCTGTATGTATCATACAGCTATCTCGTCCTGTATCATACAGCTGTCTCGTCCTGTAGTATACAGCTGTCTCGTCCTGTAGTATACAGCTGTCTCGTCCTGTATCATACAGCTGTCTCGTCCTGCATCATGTAGCTGTCTCGTCCTGTATCATACAGCTGTCTCGTCCTGTAGTATACAGCTGTCTCGTCCTGTACCATACAGCTGTCTCGTCCTGTATCATACAGCTGTCTCGTCCTGTATCATACAGCTGTCTCGTCCTGTAGGTATCATACAGGTTTTGCGTCATAATCACTCTGCATTGAATGATTTTATATTTGTCATTTTCTTTCTTTGATATTTTGTATTCTAATCCGAGTCGAGCGTTATCCTCGCGGATGTATTATAATGAAATCGAAATAATTAAACGAGTCAAAAGCAGTTAAATAAGCATCGTTCGTGTTAAAGTGTTTGATCAGGAAAAATGGGACGGAAAGAATATTTTTTATGTTAAAACAAAAGTTCGACCGGATTTAAATCCACGATAACTTACATAGAGACCTTAAAACAACACGATCTTAGATGAGGTCTTACATTTCATTTCATGTGTGCTGTCATCTTCACCGATGTATTGATGTTATCCGTGCTCACATTCTTTATAAATTTAAACAATGTTCAGTGACTCATTGGACCAGTAGTTTTCTGTCGGGATCCATATACATACCACAGTTGCTGTGGAGATATACCCTTATATTATCGATTTATGGACTTAAACGAAGAAATAAAAAGATACAGGTAGATAACAGTTGACTTCTTTGTTGTGACAATAAGGAAGTGCAGCTTGTTTATTGGGTTTTGGACGATAAAGAAAGGATCTACCGATGTGTTATGTCTACCTATATACGTTGTTAGATCTAGTGGTTATGCATTACATGCACTTCAAATGATGCTGTCTCCCAATTATCCAAACTGAGTAAAGGTACAAGTACGGATTGTACAAAGGAAATAGAAGCAACTTTCAACACTTCAGAATAAGATAAAATATAATCAAATAATGATTTTAATGGTATCCTACAGCTGTTTATTCCGTAATTGCCTAAAGGAGCATCCAGATTGGTCGAAAATGTGACTAAAGCTATATTTGGGTGGGTAGGGGATTTCCACATCCGCATCCGTTATTGCCTAAAGGAGCATCCAGATTGGTCGAAAATGTGACTAAAGCTATATTTGGGTGAATAGGGGATTTTCATAACAGCTGATAATTCAACAAATTTAGTGGGTTTTTTTATATTGAGTACAAGTATTATTCAAACCAATTAAAACGTGTACTGAGAGAGGTAATATTTTTTCTGTCTTTCAAAATTCATAATTCTAAGAAAGTTTGAATCATTTCCAATGGAAGTTAATTGATGCTCAAAAATATTAGTTTCCGATATAAACTATGATCAAATCTACTTTCCCGCTATGGGGAAATGTGAGACCCTGGTGGAATTAAACTTGTTTATATATAAAAGCACCTTAAGTCCCTTTCATCCATCAGGTGTACATTATTGTAGTAATTAATCCTTTTGGTGTTGAGAAGGTTGTTTTAGACATTTCGATCAGTATGGCCTCCTTTTGCCCCTCCTCTTGGCCCCTTGGTGTGGGGACCGTATAAATTAAAATTTTGGTTCACGTAAGCCATGAAAAGATTTTTGCAAATTTTCATTTAAAATATGGTTCACTGATTTTGAGAGAAGTCGACGTTTCTGGACAAGTCGATCGCAATAGGTCACTTCAGACGACTTTGAAAAAATATTTTCTTAAGAAATTATCATCGTTTAAAAATTTCTTTTCCGACCTGACAATCTCGCAAATAACTGAAAATTTCCAGTTTCGTTTGGTAATATATAGAAACAAGCATGGACTAGCGTAAACTAAATGTAAACAACCTAACCCGGAAGTTGTTTTTAAGTAAACTCCTGGAATTCCGTAATGATGTCTTATATAGTAGCACAGATAATTGTCAAAACAATATTTTTTGTCATATAAACTAATTGCACAGAAGTGTCGTTATTGTATTGCTATCACAAACCTTTTGTTTGTAAATGATGTACTTACATTGACAAACAAAACACATTAGTAGTAAACAATTGTTTCCCAATGTACTTACAGCTATACACAATAATTGCTTTCTATTGTTTATACACCTACATACAATAACTGGGTCCCATGGTTTTTAACGTGTACAATAAACTGCATATAAGAGTTCTATATACACTGTAGTTTGCCAATAGTTCCAGAACAGGAAGTCTTACGTACCTTACTGTCTTGTTGTCGCCTCTCCAATGACCGGGTTTACCTCTGTGTGTATATATATAACATACCTGTCCGTTTGAAAACATGCCCAACGTATACCCGATACACCCGTGTCGTTTTCTTGTTTTATGTCAATGTTATACATCACAACAATATGCAAGTGCGCACCTACATGATATAGATACTAACCTCAAAGTTCCCTCTCCAGATAAAGATCTATTTGATAGCAAATAAGACAGTTTAAAGTATTTTATTATTTTGAATCGTATCATTTTGAGGAGTTTTATCAGGAGATCAAGACAACATGTTAACATAATAAGAAGATTTATAATCTAATTACATTTGACTCGCAATCCAACAAACGTCTCGGTATGCATTTGTTTCTGACATTAATAAAAATCACAAGAAATATACTTATCCAGGCATTTAATATTCCATATATAAATAGAAAGTAAAGGATCTGTGTTTGTTGCCATGGTAAAACGTAAACAAAACAGCACAGTTAATATACACGGACGACTTGATAAACATATATGCGATTTACAAAGTTTTCTATACTTTGTTGATAAGGTGGGAGAACAACACAGGTAAAACAGGTGGGAGAACAGCACAGGTAAAACGGGTGGGAGAACAGCACGGGTAAAACTGGTGGGAGAACAACACAGGTAAAACGGGTGGGAGAACAACACAGGTAAAACAGGTGGGAGAACAACACAGCCGTAAACAGGTGGGAGAGAACAACACAGCTGTAAACAGGTGGGAGAACAACACAGCTGTAAGCAGGTGGGAGAACAACACAGGTAAAACAGGTGGGAGAACAACACAGCCGTAAACAGGTGGGAGAACAACACAGCTGTAAACAGGTGGGAGAACAACACAGTCGTAAAACAGGTGGGAGAACAACACAGCCGTAAACAGGTGGGAGAACAACACAGCCGTAAATAGGTGGGAGAGAACAACACAGCCGTAAAACAGGTGGGAGAACAACACAGCCGTAAACAGATGGGAGAACAACACAGCCGTAAAACAGGTGGGAGAACAACACGGGTAAAACTGGTGGGAGAACAACACAGGTAAAACGGGTGGGAGAACAACACAGGTAAAACAGGTGGGAGAACAACACAGCCGTAAACAGGTGGGAGAACAACACAGCTGTAAACAGGTGGGAGAACAACACAGCCGTAAAACAGGTGGGAGAACAACACAGCCGTAAACAGGTGGGAGAACAACACAGCCGTAAATAGGTGAACAACACAGCCGTTAAACCAACACAGCCGTAAACAACAACACAGGAGAGAACATAACAGCCGTAAACAGGTGGGAGAACAACACAGCCGTAAACAGGTGGGAGAACAACACAGCCGTAAAACAGGTGGGAGAACAACACAGCCGTAAACAGGTGGGAGAGAACAACACAGCCGTAAACAGGTGGGAGAACAACACAGCCGGAAACAGGTGGGAGAACAACACAGCCGTTAAACAGGTGGGAGAACAACACAGCCGTAAACAGGTGGGAGAACAACACAGCCGTAAACAGGTGGGAGAACAACACAGCCGTAAAACAGGTGGGAGAACAACACAGCCGTAAACAGGTGGGAGAACAACACAGCCGTAAAACAGGTGGGAGAACAACACAGCCGTAAACAGGTGGGAGAACAACACAGCCGTAAACCGGTGGGAGAACAACACAGCCGTAAAACAGGTGGGAGAACAACACAGCCGTTAAACAGGTGGGAGAACAACACAGCCGTAAAACAGGTGGGAGAACAACACAGCCGTAAATAGGTGGGAGAGAACAACACAGCCGTAAACAGGTGGGAGAACAACACAGCCGTAAAACAGGTGGGAGAACAACACAGCCGTAAAACAGGTGGGAGAACAACACAGCCGTAAACAGGTGGGAGAACAACACAGCCGTAAATAGGTGGGAGAGAACATAACAGCCGTAAACAGGTGGGAGAACAACACAGCCGTAAACAGGTGGGAGAACAACACAGCCGTAAAACAGGTTGGAGAACAACACAGCCGTAAAACAGGTGGGAGAACAACACAGCCGTAAACAGGTGGGAGAGAACAACACAGCCGTAAACAGGTGGGAGAACAACACAGCTGTAAAACAGGGATATACTATAATTATCCTCACAACAAACTATATATATGGCTTTTTTTTCAGAAACCTAGCTTGGACGCTTTCAAAAATACTCTCCGGTAACATACATAGCCAGCACCTTCTTCATCAATTAAGTTGAAGTTTTCTAAAATCCATATATATAGTTTAACTAAAATTAAAAAAAAACAAATATTATAATATTGATATGCAGAATAATACAACACATGAGCGAAAACTTCAATTGTGAATAAAGTCATTATCCCGTAAGATGAAGACAACGTTACTGCAGTCATGTTTTCTTAAAAATAAGAGAAAGAAGAACACATCTTTATTTCATCGTAGCTAAATATATTGGGTACAAAAAATGAGGCTCTATCGGATATTTAATCCGTTCATACGTCGTATACTGATCCGTAAATGTAACATACAAATCTGCAGTCCGTACAGATATGTTTCTGTATTTCTGCTCTCCTCGGACTTTTGGTTACTACCCAAGACGTTTTCAGAGGGTTTCCGGGTTTCTCACTTCCGGGTGATGCAGAATGGCAGATGCCGCTAAATATCAGAAATTAGCTTCAGAATACGCCAAGGTTTGTGGCGATTGTTAAACATTACTGATTATACTTGATATTTTGCTAAGACCTGACACTTATCTAACATAGATAAGGTGCATTGAGCTATGTTTTTCTTGTTTTCGTGACTGGAAACGTGAGTAATTTGGGGGGAAAAAAACGCCCACCGACCGATATCATTATGAGATAAAAACAGAAAGTGAGATGTCCGGATGTTTGGGATTACATCGCTTTATTATGTCGTTTAATTGGATAGTATGCATACCGACTGAACAGGCCACAACCTCTTAACTAAACTTTCTTAAGCAGAGATGGTTAAATGCTTCAACATCTATGATTTTTTGTTCACAAATATGTGTTGCAGCATCAAGATGTCTGACGTATGGTACCGTAGGAGCCAGATGAAATTCGGGCCACAGTAATAAGAGAAATGTGTTTGTTTATTACAGATTCATGATAAAAAATCTAATTAACATATTTCGATAGAGTTAGCTTTACAATGCATGTTAGACAGGCTGGTAACCACTACCAGTCTAAAAGTTTGCATTATCTAGAATCGAAAAGCCAAAACATCTGTCAAAAATTGGGTTTAGTAGCAATGTACAGGGAACCAAGATAAAAGAAAATTATGTGGTACCAGGGATGACAGTTCTAGATAGAATTTACACCATGAAATGATTGGATGACAAAGCTGCAATCAGAACACAAATAAATGTTTTTATTTGCACATACCAAACAATGTTTTGCCACATTTCAGTTAAAAGCTCAGATACCAGTACTGAAGAAAGCTTATCTCGACGAGCAAGGCACAAGTAATGAATATAAGGTATGACTAATAACTGAATTCCATTGAGCATGTTTATAATGTATATAAGTGAAATGACAATATTTCACACTTTTCAGAGATTTGTTTGTTTTTTATTATCTATTTTTTCCTTTGGAACTATATTAAAAAAAACAGTTTTAATATTTTGTGACAATTTGAATCTGAAGAACAGGAAATCTGGTTTTATACAATTATCAAAAAGATTTATTACTTAAATTGGTTATTATCACATATATTTCTCTTCTGATTTATCATTATCACACATATTTCTCTTCTGTTTTATCATTATCACACATATTTCTCTTCTGTTTTATCATTATCACACATATTTCTCTTCTGTTTTATCATTATCACACATATTTCTCTTCTGTTTTATCATTGCATGGATAAATACTAGTATTATTTTCAATTATTGATGTCATTGCCTATATAATCTTTATGACTGATCAATCTTTCATTTGATCTTTTCTGTTTTTGATCAAACTTTGAAATCGATTAAATTGTAATTACCTTTAAAATGATATCTCTACATTTGTGATTGAGGAGGTTTTATTTCCCTTGTTTGAATCTTGTGCCCTGAAGGAGATAAAAAGTCTTGAATTCTGTCAATATACCAGAAGGTTTGGAGGACAAATAGTGCAGCAGTGGAACACATGTTTTGAAAGAAGAAAAAAACAGATTGTTGAACAACATCAACAAGAAGTTTGATATTTGCAACTAAGATTCATTTCTTAAGTATTGCTTATGGCATAACTAAAATTGCCTCCATTTCAAAAGAGTTCCTCATCATTACAACTACTATTACTGCCTAATGTGATTTAACATCTACAGAGTGTGCAACTGATATTTTTTGTCACTAGGAACAGCTCAAAGCAAAGGATCAAGCTTTACGAAAGTATGAACAGGAAGTTGACAGTTTGTCATTCAGAAACCAACAACTCTCCAAACGTGTACTTTTTCTCCAGGAGGAACTTGATACTATAGAGGCAACAAAGAAAAAAAAGGTAAACATACAGAAAAATTGTTTATAATGTTTTATATGCATATAAGAAACTGTCCATATCAGTTGTCAAAATGTAACTTTTATATTAACTATACATTTGTAGCTGTGTATCATTGTTGTGTTACATAAACTTCAGTGTCTTATATTCCACCAGCCTGAAGGCTCAAGTGAGGGGAATACATTATGAAAATTAGTATGGCAGCTGCACAGCAAGAGGTTAAAGGTCAATTCTAAATGATTTATGATTATATATGTATGATCACAAGGTCAAGGTCATAGTGTAAGGTAAAATGTCAACTTGTTATGTTTTACCTTATGAAATAGAAAACATTTGTATTGATGTTGTTTAGATATTTGGGAGAACAAGGGTAAGTACAGTGTGGTGCTTTTCAGGATGATGATGTACATTATGTATTAACAAAGACTTTTGTTTTTAATATTATATAATACACTATATATAACCTGTCTTTGTGATTTTAAAAAATTAATTTAGCAACTATCTGATTATTTGTCCTTGATTTTAGAATCATGTGTCTAAATTTGTACACCTGAAATAAGATCTGTATATGATATACAGTATGGGTGAGAAACTGCAGCACAGGTTGCTTGGTCATCATCTTCACCTGTGAGACGCCTGACAGGGATTTGGACATTTATAGTCACATGATTGCGCAGAATTTGGCTGTCGCATTGTAACATTGAAATATATTAAGACCATTGAGAGATGTTCTGACCAATCATTTTTAGGAAAAATCCAATCATGATTATACAGCATTCTGTATTTTTTTAACAAATATGTCACAAAAAATATGTATTTCCATACTCCTTACAAACAAGCCATGCAGAAATATCTACCATCTTGTCAAGATTTTCTTTGCATTTGCAATCCTGAAGAAATCCATAATTGTATTGTTGCACATCTTGTGGTTATTTCAGATCAGTTATTTGCATAAACAAAAGGCTTAAACAATGAAATGTGTGTATACTCACTTGATAATATTTCAACTTTGCGAGCATGTCCTTATAGATTTATAGATTATGTTACATATAAGACATGCTTGTAATATACAACATAAACAATCTGTTCATTTCTGATTACTGGAGGTCCTAGATTCTGTATATAGGTATCTTTTTCATTGTCTTTCCCTAAAGAAGTTGTAAATGAGTACAGTAGACATCAGTTTCATATTATCTTGTTATCAAGCATGTTGTCTTCAGCTCAATTTCTTTGAAAATTTCTCCAATGTCAAAGGCAGTGTTACAAGGTTCCTTCATAGTATATGTTCTAACAGGAATACTCACAACAAATACTCTAAATGGAAAGTTTTATGGCGTTCAATTAACTTGTCACCATAAAATACTCTTTGAAGTATATTTTAGATTTTATTTTAATATATTAGTGTGCTAGATTTAGTTTGTTAAAGAGAAGTGTATTACAAGCTTGTGTATAATCCATTGGTGGTGCAGGGTCTTTGCTACAAATATTTGCCAGAGACAAAAGTATTATCAAACTTTGTTCCGCAATTTAAAAAAAAATTATTTTTGTTTGTGAATATTATGATATATCATAAAAATACATTTGCTTTTACTTTAAAAAAGTAGAAGTCTGACATGAATTAGCAATGCACCTAGGTGTGGTTTAATCTAAAGCATTATGTAAACAGCAAATATAGAGGACCAGACAACATTGGTAGGAAGAATTAAAACTGTTTAATAGTTGACGTGTTTCGGCATACTAGGTATGCCGTCCTCAGAACAGAGTAACTATTCAAAATACCGCACTTCTATACTATCTCTACCTAGCAACTACTCATCTTACTCCAAGTAAATAACGCGTGTTTACACATCTTTGGACCACACTCCTGTATTCCACTAGGAATCCATCCTAGGAAGACTGCCAACATTACTGAATCTACCAAACCGGATGTTATCTCGTTTCTTTGTATTATATAAATCATGATAATAGGGAGTAGATAGACTGCCCATGGTGTATATCTAACAATCTGTCTAAGGATATCACCAAACTCCAAACTCTAAGGTCAAAAGTGGAATTCAAATGGAACCATTTGCGTTTTCCCTACCAGTATCTATTTTTTAATTGCTCTGCAAAATTTTTTGAAGTAAATTTTCATGAAGACATACTATTAATATATGGTAACTGCAGTGAAATTTTAAAGTCTGTGAATCTGTATACAAATTAAAGTCTTTTGAAAAAATAATATCGTATAGAATGCAAAATGAAATTATATAGGCTGATGCTAAACAGTCATATTTACAATCTTTCTTTTTCTTTTTTTTTCTGTGGTTGTTGACAATTTTCATACAGTACATGATTACATGAAAAGTTTCTCTTTTTAACGGAGTAAGAATTTCCTTTTGTTAAGTAGCTATTCATGGATTGTAAACTATTCCTCTCCATCACATATTGTGACATGTAAATAATTTTCATTATTTCCTGGTTGTGGACCAATAGTTGTGTATGAGTCAACACCTGGTATAAAAATGTAACTTGTTATATCACATCTTGAAGTGAAAGTCCTTTATATTTAAATCTGATGTAGTGCTATATTAGGAAACATTGAAGAACTATGACTTCCTCAAGGCAAATTACATAATATATATCAATTTGTCAGGGGAAATATACAAATAAAAACCTTTAAAATTACAATGACATATTCCTTTTATATATATATTTTATATGTGGTTGATTTTATGATTTAGTACTGAATATAAGATAAATCTTTTATATAACGTCTCTTTGTTATTTACTGTTATTTAAATATTAGGGGAAAAAAATATCTTTTGAGTATAACTACAATTTACAGATGTGTACAAATGTAATTTCCTGTGCTCCTTGGTTTCAAATTGTTTACCAGTGTATATTTAAATATCAGGAATTAGTAACATGTACATCTGCTGATCTATAAATGACCTAGAAAACAATACACAGAGAAATTACTTCAAAGTGTTATAGTTGGATTTTCAGTTTTTCTTGTCTATAAATTGCAGCTGAATATAAATGGGGTGATTTCATTATTTCAGATTATTGTTAACAACATTGATCTGTTTTTAATTTACAGAACAGAAATGCAGAACAGCCTGCAGCAGCACCTACATCACCGGGGGTCTACAGTGAGGAACTCTTCAGTAAAATCCAGGAGAATGAGAGATTGCACAAACAGGTAACCATAGTAACAGGTTTAACAAGTTTATGGCAAAATGCATGAAAGTATAGAGTTATAACTAAGACCCCAATAAGGATTGACATTATCGTGCCTGTATATATGCCTGTGTACTTTTACTTGTTTGATTTATTGTGTTTTGTACTATATTCCTATAAACAGGTTGATGATAGTAATCGTAAATACCAAACACGGATACAGGAACTGGAGACAAAGCTGGAGTACTTCGAGAAGGAATGTAACCAGCATCAACAGGTGCTTCAGTCTACGCTGCAGAAGAGCAAGGATCAGATAGATAGACTGCAGCAGGAGAAAGCCATGGTCGAGGTGAGTAAGAATAAAGATGAACTGAGTGAAGAAATATTGATAAAGTATGGGAGGTGAAGAGGTAAGGTAAAGATGGACTGAGTGAAGAAATATTGATAAAGTATAGGAGGTGGAGAGGTAAGATAAAGATGGACTGAGTGAAGAAATATTGATAAAGTATAGGAGGTGGAGAGGTAAGATAAAGATGGACTGAGTGAAGAAATATTGATAAAGTATAGGAGGTGGAGAGGTAAGATAAAGATGGACTGTGTGAAGAAATATTGATAAAGTATAGGAGGTGGAGAGGTAAGATAAAGATGGACTGAGTGAAGAAATATTGATAAAGTATAGGAGGTGGAGAGGTAAGATAAAGATGGACTGAGTGAAGAAATATTGTAGATAAAGACAGATAATTAGTTAGAGTTTGAGATGTAGAGTCAGTAGTAAAGACTTACTTATAGAAGGAAGGAATATGTAGGATCTTCTGACAAATTGACGGAGAAAGTAACAGATAGGTGAAGAATCAGAAAGTAATGACTGCTATAGGAGGGAGGGAAGGAGAGGAAGAAATATACAAACTACAATACAAGTATCATAGTGTGCAACAACATGTGAAAGTAAGGTTGGCTAATGGCACAGTTTTATGACTTTACCACACTTCTACATTGTAACCCTGAATAAATATGTGTGTACGGTGGTGATCCTGCAGTAAGTTAATGGAGACCAACACATTGTTTACTAAACCATATATAACGTCAGGCCCTATATCTGTGTATAGACAACCTTTGAAGGCCACTGATGATCTTGATAAATTGCCTTCCAATGTCTGTTATATCAACAAACATTGGTCAACATAATTGTTCTTTATAAGAAAAAGGTGCAGCTTATTTTCCAGTGCAGCTAATATATGTATAGAATTGAAAAATCAATAAAAAAAAATTGGCCCTGCTGCTACAGTAAGGCTTATAACCCAGAAATACAGTACTTGTGGGTCAGTGTCAGTGGTGGGTTTATCCCCGAACAACCCAAGGGAGACCAACACATTACTTCTGGTTCAATGTCAGGGTGGGGGGGGAGGGGGTTATCACAGGACAATAAGCCCAGTGTCCGTGGTATGAAATCCAAGTCAAGTTTTATGTGTTTATCATTTCTTGCACATATAAAGTTGTAGATTTAGTGCCAATGAAAATAAATCCCCTCAAATATTGATGATTTTACAGTATATGCCAGCAAGCTTTTTTGCCATAAGGTTACGAGTTTACTGCCGGTAAATAATGTTTATAGCATCATTGCAACATTTAATACAATTTTTATTTCCATTTCAGGTTAAATTGCAAAAATTGGAGTCTGATGTGAAAAGTTACCGATCAAGAGCTGAGCTATCGTAAGTCACACTGTTGTCTACATAAGATCAGGAATCTGAGTAAAATATTTAGTTACCTAATTACGGTATTGCCATGGTAACAGCGTACTGATTCAATATTTTGTAATTTCTTTTCATTTGTTTCCTCCCAGCTGTACTGTTCTAGAATAAGTACTAAAGGCAAAATCTTTCGTTAAATTTTTTAGAAAAATCAAATTCAAGAAATAATATTTTCTTAGATTCACAATATTCAACTGAAGACAAGAAAGGTAAAATGTGTTTATGATTATGAAATATTTTCCACAATTTATATTTCAAAGTACTTAAGTTTTAGATGAAATAGGATAACTAGATTATTTTGTCTACACATAAATTCTTCCAGGAGGGAAACATTTATTAAAATCACTTGTCACCACTGAAATCATGTCACTTTTAAATTTTGTCGCTTTGGGCCACATGTTACACATGTAATTGTTTCTTGTACTTAACACTTTATTTACAGAGAGGAAAAACTAGACAGTGTTCAGTCCCGACTGCAAGATGATCTTCAACAGGCTAGAAAAATAATTGCTGACAAACTTCCTTTTATAGATACTAGTAAGAAATTTCTCCACAGTTTCTGGGAAAAGAAAAACTCAAAAACAAAATGCAAACTTTATTTCAGATTTTAATGATAAAAAATGAACAGTAACTTAACATTTTTTCTCTATGAGATATTTATTACTAGTTAAATGATGTTAAGATAGTTTTTACTAATTAAATGATGTTAACTTATTTATTACTAGCTTCAAATGAGGTTTTGATACATAATGTTTTAGAAAATATGAACTTTAATTAATCTCAATGATTTAAACAAGACATTTGATTAAAACTCTGAAAGAGTTATCAAAATCGGTTTTTTTTTTAACAAAAATTACTGCGTATTTTCTGTAGAACACAGAGACTTAAATTGCTTGAACCTGCCCACCCATGATAGAAAACACCAGCTGCGAGCTCGAGAACTGGTGAGCCAGTCGGTGAACCATCTGTCGGAACTGGTTCAGGCTTTATCAAACTTCTACACCTACTCGGAACAGAGGTCCAAAATCTACCCAAATGATGGCATCAACGAACCTCTAAGTCCCATCAACCTAGTGGTAAGTGAATTGTTAAGGATGTATGCTACTTTACACTAAATTCGTTCGACTCATGTAAGAGTTATCTCCCTTAAAGTTGTTTAGTATTTCTTAATGTGGCATTCTTTTATACTTTTTGAATATGTCATCATTTCTTGTGAACCTTGTACCTAAAGATCATATAGTAGCTGCTTTGGCCGTCCATACAATTATCATAGTTTTGTCTGGAGTATATCTCAAAAACTATTTAAAGATATCAACATGAAACTTCATTGATATAATACGGTAAATTAACTAAGAAACTGTACCAGGAGTTTTGTCATTAAATTTGCAGTATTGTAAATATCTCCATGAGAATGTGAGTTATCTGCGCCCCTGTGAGCAAGCTCTTCGGTCCTTCCTGGGTACCCTGAATGAAGATTCCTTAACAACTCTGGTATGTGATTCATTTAGATATGGTTATTGTAAGTATTAAGATATGGTTACTATAAGTATTAAAATATGGTCACCATAATTGGTTAAATATGGTTACCGTAAGTAGTAAAATGTGGTTACCATAATTGGTTAAATATGGTTACGGTAAGTAGTAAAATGTGGTTACCATAATTGCTTCTAATTACCAGAAAGTCATAATTGGTTTCTTTTTTTGTAATATTTTTAGAAATTTGTGTTACTGAATTCTTTTCAGAATTTTAATACATAAAGAATGAACAGTAATGTGTTTGAGATATTGATACTACAGAAGACATCAGTCCTGTCTGATAGTCTTCACTGGTTTAATGAGCTGTATAGATCAGGAGAAAAATTTAGGATACTATGCAAACCATTCTTTTAAGCAGGCAAGTTGCCTGTTTTGGGAATTTGATATCAATAGGACATCTTTTGAAGTTTTTTAAAAATTTTTTGTGTTTTTTTTTTTCAGGAAACAGCAACAGACTTATTTGTGTTTTCGAAGAATTTTAAAGGTCTTGTGGGGTACATGAACAAGTTACTGCCATATCAACTGGCTAGGTGAGTACATTATAATGATATAAGGAATGTACAGGTAACATACACTATAAACACCAGGAAATTATTTGATCTTTCTTACATGTAAAATAGATGACTTATGATCTAGTAGCACAAATAAAAACCTAATGACTTGATGATTGAAACCAACTTTTTATTATGTTAAAGATTGACATAAAAGAGCAAAGATAAATAAGTGTGTGTGAAGAAAAATTGTGTATGAAATAAGCAAAATTATTTCTACAATAAGCAGATATAATTTACATTTTGCTAAAGAGTGTATAATACAATGCTATGATCAAGAGTTGTCTCCCTTACATTTTTTTTTATTTCAATTTTCTGTTAGCAATATGTATGCAATTAGACTAAATTTGTCTTATCACACTGGGATGACATGGCTTTAGGTGAAGATCTGAAATATATGGTTTGATGCTCCCCAGCCATGGCAGTTTGTGTTTCTCAGGAAGCTGAGAAATGGACCAGTCTGTGCTGAGGTGGTTGTGTCTTTAGGCAAGATATTGATGTAATTGGTCCTAACAGTATGTGATGGGCCTCCCCTATGTTGTTCAGTGAGGTAGCCAACACCTACTACAAGGAGACCCCACATCAAAATGACGCTGACTGTTCAATGTTCATTATAAACCCAGCAAACAAACATCTTTTAAAAGATTTAACAATGAGAAAATATAGTCATATGTATATAGCATCTGATATAAAGCATTAGAAACTGAGTTTTATTTCAGTGTTGAGCTAAACTATACAATACTTGCTGTCATTACAGTATAGAGGAAGAATGTGCTCTCTCCTCTTGTACTTCAACTTTGGAGAACAAAAACATGGATCTTCATCATTCCCTTAAACATCTCACCTCCGTGTTCAACAAACTAGACACATATATCACTTTACTAGCTACACAAAGTAAGTATGGGTTCTCTCACATCTCATTAGAATTTCGTAAAAAGGGGATGACTTTTTATTTCATGGAATCTATGACCTGAGTTTTTGCAGAATATTATTGTGCCACTTAGACATTTCAAATGGATGATAATTTGGAAACTGGTGTCTGATTTATGTGAATTTAAAATAGAAAAATGATGCTGAAATTTTTGTATCACATATTTCAGTTTTGTATGATATGTAATATAGCCCAGTGCACATTTTGTGCTCATATCTAGTATGTAACATTATAGCAATGGTGCTAAAAGGATGATTCCGTGAAATTACAGCAATATTAAAATTTGTCACAAATAATTCATTTAATCAGAACAGTTAACAAAACAAAATTTTCTGATTTATTATCATATGTTCAGCTACTCCACTTACCACTTATTACCATATAACTTCATTAGTCGCAATCCTTCGGGTATGCTTTTCCCAAAGTTAGAATATTGCATATTTTGTTTTTGTGATAAAAAGAAAAGTTCCAACTGACATTGACATCACATCATGATATGTGAAAACGCAATTCAATATTTCCGAGAATATGTTTGCTGTTGAATATATATTAACAAAATTTTACTAACTTACTTTGTTGTTACAGGTCAAAATCACTGCCATTATCCACATCAAAACCATTTCTCATTCTTTGTGTGTTTATCCAAAGTGCTACAGGATTTAGACACATCAGTCAGAGGTAACATAAAATCCTAAGATGATCTCCCTTTATAGTGTTCCTATTTTTATTCTCGGATGTTAGTGGATATTTAGTCATACTGAAACAGCATGCAATATGACAATGATATCTGCAAAATGAAGAAAATGTCTTTATATTTCCTCTTTTGTCAAATAAATTGTAGAATACCAAGGTAGTTCTGATTTGATCCATTTTCCCAGCAGATAAAGGTACTATATGGTGGAAGTTATCAGCCCTGATTTTATATACATTAGTTCATATTTTGCTCCAAGAATATGATACAAATTACTGTTTGGTCATTGTTTAGCAAATGTTGTTTCTGAAAGTGTCAATTTAGTGTCACTCTAATTTGTTAAAAAGTCTTTAGAATTATCAATATATGAATTTTTTTTAATGAATTTTTCCCATTTTCTTTTCTTAGATGTGTCGAAACATTATAATTCTAAAGTGTCTCTAGAACATCAGTTACCCACGGCAACACAAAAACTTAAAACTACAGATGAATGTATTGTTTCATCTCTCATCTCCATGGTAACATGTACAGGAAAGGTAAGACTGCACAAACTCATTGTTTGAAGTAAGAGTAAACATGTATCTTTTCTTCAGGATGTTATGTAAAAAAAAAAGTCAATTTAAAAGATGATTTTTATCAAAAGGAAATAAATGGAGAACTGTATGTGTTTGCAGATATTTTTTCAAAGCTCTATTAATTTGGGTGTGTATGGCTTGATACGTTTTAGTTATTGTCAGATAAAATATACTACCTCATAGTTTGTTTGACAGTTTTCTTAGATTTCTATTTTCATATTAAATAATGTAACAATTCTGGGACTCACCTGACTCAGATTTCTGTTTCACAGAGTCATTTGAGATTTTTTTTCTTATCTAGGTTTCAGCATTCTTTTCTGGAAATATTGACTTCTTCAAGGAAAACCCAGGTTACAGAACGCGTGGCAGCAGTATAGGTACAGACACTACTATGGATGGACCTCGTTCTGGTCCCGCTACTGTCTGTTTCAGACAGAAGGCAGCAACCTACCTTTCCCAACTGTCTGGGGTAAGCTTTATCATGTTTTGTGATAAAATAAGACTGCTGATATACCAATTTTAACACGTATTACTTTGATATGTGTCTTCTCCAAAACAGATCCAAGTGAGATATTTGAAATAACTGATGAAATTGAAAGGTTGAATGATTTGTAAATTGTAAATAGGAACAATAAAGATCTCTGCTTATAAGAAAGTCAGTGTTTAATATCTATCAGTCCCTTCTGTATCAGCCTTGTGTGGAAATTGTTTGTCAGTATATTAAATATCTCTCATCTTCTCTATCAGCCAAGCTTACAGACTGTTTATCTTTATATTAAATGTTTGTCATTTTTCCTGTGTCTGTCTGTGTTAAGTAACTGTCATCTTTTCTGTATCAGCTGAGCTCAGAGACTGTTTATTGTTAAACTCAATGTTAGTATTCTTTTCTGTATCAGCTGAGCTCAGAAACTGTTTATTGTTAAACTAAATGTTAGTAATCTTTTCTGTATCAGCTGAGCTCAGAAACTGTTTATTGTAAAATTAATTATCTGTCATCTTTTCTGTATCAGCCCTGCCCAGAAACTGTTCCTCATAGCATTGCAGTACAGAACCGGAAAGTGCTACTTAGCTCCACAGAAAGTCGTGAGGGACTCTCTAAACAAGTAAGTACATGTTTTATACTTTATATAGCTGAACAGAAAGTCACGAGGGACTCTCTGAACAGGTAAGTACATGTTATATACTATATATAGCTCAACAGAAAGTCATGAGGGACTCTCTAAACAGGTAAGTATGTGTTATATACTATATATAGCTCAACAGAAAGTCATGAGAGACTCTCCAAACAAGTAAGTACATGTTATATACTACATAACAATTATATAAAACACTTAATTGATTCAGGTGTTATAAACTGTTACCTAGCAAACACAAATATTAAGTGATATTCTTCTTCAGCGTTGCGATGTATATTAGACAAATACACAGGAGGCGAAATTTTTCACTTCATAATGAAAGACTATATTGAAAAGTAACAGGATCATGTGTGGTCTGGTGCTATATTATATGCCAGGTTCTGTTCAAGCTCACATCGGTCACGGCCGTAGATGTGCATGGTGCATTCAATTACATGCAACTGTTGCAGGCTTGTTATTTCAGTAAATCAATGGTGAACATTTTTTTTAATACTCAAAAAGTATACCAGATTGAATATTTTGACTAAACTCTAAAATATTTTTATTATTCATAAACTAAATTTCAGTACATACCAAGGTTACATGTTGAAATATAATCATATCAATATTTATGTTTATGTTAAGTTATGAAAATAAATATAATCATAAAAAATGTTTTCTTCAGCATTTAAAATTCAGTAAAACAACTGAGTAATTAACACAGAAATGCTGATTTTACTCCCAGATTGTGACTGCATTATCTCTGCTCATGAAATACTACTGAAATGTAGGGCTTGTTGTATTGGTTATACCACTGAGCTATCTCCCTTAGGCTGTACCTAAGAAGTAAATATCCTTGTAAACTCTGGACCTCAAGATCTAAGAACATATTAATTTCTGGTTACAGCTAACGACTGCCCAAACCCGAGTCAACAAGCTTGAACAGGAGAAAGAACACTGGATGTTGGAACTACAACTACTACAGATAAAGCATGACAAAGAAACAGAGGTCAGTGAAAAGGCTGTTATAGACTTTAAAATCCTGTATTAACTTTATTCTACAAATTCTCAGGGGAAGTTAAGTGTGTTACCATTGCATCACACAAACATCCAGACTTCTCCTAGACGTTCCAACCCACCGTGTAATAAATGCCCTTTGTAATAGTATTGGTAATGCTACATGTTTTTTGTTTTTTTTTTTTTTTATCAGATTTAATGTTCACACATTTAATCTAAAGAAAAACCGCATTTTTGTTGTAACTTGTGTAATTTCATTATTAGAACAATTGTTTCAAATAGAAATGTTTGATATTTTATTTCAGAAAGTGCAGAAACTTGAAAAACAGTTAGCAAGCAAGCTTGCCTCTGGAGCTGTCCAAGACTCTATAGAAGATAACATCATTAAAGAACCTACAACCAGGACCTCCTCGACAGACGCTGTCGTACCTCAGACTTCAGAAGCCAAGGCTGCCATGGTAACTCTAACAATCTAACGTCTAATACTACACTTGTGAGGCAAAAGTTAATTTAGAGTGTTTCAAATGGACTTTCAATTTTGGGGAAGAATTATGGTTTAATTTTGCTGTCATTTTTTTCAATTTTTGCTCTGTGTGAATTTTTGTTTTAAGAAAATTAGAAACAGACTTTTGTCTTTATTTTACAGTTTGGTAAGTTAGACATGGTGTCCGCTGGTTCTAGTGATGCAGAGACAAGAGAGGTCCTGATCAAGAATCATTTCACGAACAGAATTAATGAACAGGCTCTACAACTACAGCTGGTTGAGAGTAAGGCTGTCAACTTTCACTCAGAGGTAAGGTCATTTATTGGTCAAGGGTCCAAGGTAAAAGCTAAAAATCCAAACAGAAAGGTCAAAGGTCAGTATCAAAAGATCCTGAATCAAGTGATATGTTAGATTCCAAGGTTTCGTTGTTATATACTACTGCTATACATACATGAGGTCTTAGTCTGCCATATCGGCTGATTTGTGACCTATTAATTCTGCAGTTATATTGCTCTGTAGCAAGTTCCGCCTTAATTTTAAGGCTTGTTCTGTGTCACAGTAAATCTGATTTTCGGACAAAACGGAAGTGACTCATTCAGAAACAAATATGAGTGAAACTGGGTTGAAATTGTAACAATCGTGAATCATCATTATATGTATACATTTGCATTAGTAGAGGGAACCTGTGTATTACCCACATCTAAATAAGGTAAACAGTGTGGATACATTCGTAGTGCTAATAACTATCGATAATGCTTTGATTTGTCCCAGCAAAGGAAAAAGTCAGCTGTGGAAGTTAGAGGTCACACTGCACCTGTCGAAAGTCTCTCGCCATGTTGAACCTCAAACATTGTTGGTAGTACGTTGTAATTCAGAGATTAAAGTTTTTCAAAATTCTAATCTGTTCAAAAGAAATTTTTTTTCATTACTTTGACTAGTGATGAATCAAGGTGGTTCAATCACAACATACCCAAGCGTCCCCATTAAGTGGGTTATTTCATGACCATTAAGTAACCCACTTACTGGTGACACATGGGTATGTTGTGATTGAAACTACCTTGATTCATTTATTTTATGTTATGTCGTCGCCCTGCATACCTTTCGGTATCCATACCCAACGCGCATCACCCCACTGATCAACCTACTTACTTTAAAACTGACGTTGGCTCTAGTCTTCTTGTTTGACTAGTGATGGGACAATGATTGGACATAAGTAATTATTTAATCACTTAACCTTATTTGGTGTGATGATTGATGATGATTTTTCATAATTGATCATCAGTACCGAAATATTTTCTTGTATTTTACCAAAATCAAAATTCATGTCTTGCCAAATAAAGATGCTGATTTTCAGTAATATTCAGTCTTGTGTAAATTCTAGGTAAGTGAGGTATTTTAGTTTAAAGTTACAAGAAATGAAAAATATCACTGCCACAGAGAATGTGTTTACTTTCTATGAATATTGAACACACATTCTGTTGGTTATGTTTATTGTTTAACAACATCGTAAAGCCCGTCTGATTTTAACCGACAATCTATAATGGATTTTACCCGACTTCCCTTCACTAGCTTAGACTAATAATGTGAATCTTCCAGTCTTGTCGTGATGGTTTTGATGACGAGATACCAATGGTTATTTATCCTAATACATTGAAGTGAGATATTTGTTCTCGATGTGTATGTGGTAACTTTTTTACTCACCATCATCATTTGTATCTTAAATATGCTGCAGAGTATTTTCAGTCTTTAAGTTCTGTTAATTAATTTATTTCAGGTGCGTGCATTACACAAACAGCTGCAGATTGCGGAGAAATCTAAAACAAGATGTGAAGAGGAGCTCAAGGATTCATCGCAAGTACTCGCTCAGCTCAAGGTATGATGCCCGGGACTGGGGGAGGGCGGGGGGAGGGGAGGGCATAGTTTGTGTTATCTGTTTACAGATTGTTAATAGGATAATGAATTTGTTAAGATTTTGTAAAGAAATGAAAATGATGATGGAGATCATTGCAGTTTCAAAAACAAAATCATTGTCAAAGGAGTTAAATTTTCTCTTGTGCTTCACAGTAATTGAAAACATATCAACTTCACTTGAAGAATTGTGAAATTTACAGAATGACATCTCCAGTTTTACCCTTCACCGAGTAGTAGGATTTCCTCTTTATAATTTCTCATCAGGTGTTAAACCAACAATGCTAGATATATAACTACATTTTTTTTACACATTATTCCTGTCAGGATGAACTACAGACAACAACAAAAAGCTATGAGGGTCAGCTCAGTATGATGAGTGAACATTTAGCCAGTATGAATGAAAAACTGGCCCAACAAAAAGATGAAATTGATGAACTTAAGTCACAGAAGGTACAACCACCAAAGGTGAGAATCTATATTCTTGCAAAAAAAATTGGTCACCATTACGATTTTTCAGGTAGTATTTCTATATATAGTGCATTGGTCTTCATCTCTGTGAATCAGTCATTCATACAGATGTAATTATTCTTGTTTCTGTTAATAAGACTTCACTTTTAAAAGACACTAGTCAGACTCTATCTAGGTATATGATGACTTGCCTGTGGAATCGATACATTGTTAATGGTATATTTTCTTTCAATTACAAGAGTAGCTTTCACTAACTGCATTTTCTTTTGTTTTCAGGAGAAAAAGAAATTCAGAAAATGATGAATTCATATTGGTGAAGAACATTATGATGGAAACAGCAGATCCAGAACAATGGATGTTGAGTTCTCGCAGTTGACAGAATTTCTGTGACAACTGTGGGTGATAAGTGATTGCGGTGGACAGAATTTCTGTGACAACTGTGGGTGTTTAATGATTACAGTTGACAGAATTTCTGTGACAAATGTGGGTGTTTAACGATTACAGTTGACAGAATTTCTGTGACAACTGTGGGTGATAAGTGATTGCGGTGGACAGAATTTCTGTGACAACTGTGGGTGTTTAATGATTACAGTTGACAGAATTTCTGTGACAACTGTGGGTGATAAGTGATTGCGGTGGACAGAATTTCTGTGACAACTGTGGGTGTTTAATGATTACAGTTGACAGAATTTCTGTGACAACTGTGGGTGATAAGTGATTGCGGTGGACAGAATTTCTGTGACAACTTTGGGTGTTTAACGATTGCAGTTGACAGAATTTCTGTGACAACTGTGGGTGTTTAATGATTACAGTTGACAGAATTTCCGTGACAACTGTGGGTGTTTAATGATTACAGTTGACAGAATTTCTGTGACAACTGTGGGTGTTTAATGATTACAGTTGACAGAATTTCTGTGACAAATGTGGGTGTTTAATGATTACAGTTGACAGAATTTCTGTGACAACTGTGGGTGATAAGTGATTGCGGTGGACAGAATTTCTGTGACAACTGTGGGTGTTTAATGATTACAGTTGACAGAATTTCTGTGACAAATGTGGGTGTTTAATGATTACAGTTGACAGAATTTCTGTGACAACTGTGGGTGATAAGTGATTGCGGTGGACAGAATTTCTGTGACAACTGTGGGTGTTTAATGATTACAGTTGACAGAATTTCTGTGACAACTGTGGGTGATAAGTGATTGCGGTGGACAGAATTTCTGTGACAACTGTGGGTGTTTAACGATTGCAACAGAATTTCTGTGACAACTGTGGGTGTTTAATGATTACAGTTGACAGAATTTCCGTGACAACTGTGGGTGTTTAATGATTACAGTTGACAGAATTTCTGTGACAACTGTGGGTGTTTAATGATTACAGTTGACAGAATTTCTGTGACAAATGTGGGTGTTTAATGATTACAGTTGACAGAATTTCTGTGACAACTGTGGGTGATAAGTGATTGCGGTGGACAGAATTTCTGTGACAACTGTGGGTGATAAGTGATTGCGGTGGACAGAATTTCTGTGACAACTGTGGGTGTTTAACGATTGCAGTTGACAGAATTTCTGTGACAACTGTGGGTGTTTAATGATTACAGTTGACAGAATTTCCGTGACAACTGTGGGTGTTTACCGATTGCAGTTGACAGAATTTCTGTGACAATTATGGGTGCTAAGTGATCGTGGCCAACAAAATTTCAGTGACAATTTTCAGGATCAGTCATGCAGAAAACATTTTTCTTGTGATAAAAATTTTACAAACTTAAAAAAATAAGATAAGTCTCCACTTAATACATTAATGCAATTTAATTTAAAAATAAATGCACGCAAAATTATATAAAATGTTTACGAATACTGAGACCACCATTATCAGATTATATTATGGTTTTCATTGCAAAACATCTTTCATATTTTAATTTCAAGCAACTTGATTTATGTAGAACTTCATGTATTTGGAACAAGTTTCCAGAAGTGCAGGGATTAATGTCTATGGTATTGTAACATATAAGAGATTATTGTACAATTTGTTATCAAATTCAAAATATCTTATTGTAACCATGTCATATTTTTGTCATTGAAATGCTGGAACATAAAATGTATGGTGTTACTTGAGGTATTTTTCAATTAAAACTCACCAGTTCAATATTCAGTCTTGTTGGAATAAATAGACATTGGAGAAAACCCCCACGTTATATAGTATGTAGAAGTTTCATACTTTATCAAATTGATACTTCTGGGAGGTTTAATTTGCCTTAATACTAGGCAGGGACATATAACTAAATAAATTTCAGATCTACAAAAAAATTAATGTGTTGTAACATAGCCACATGTTAGTGTGGAAGGTCTTCAATTCCAATTTGTTTTGTCAATAGTTAAACTCAGTTTGTGATCGTCTTCACATTAGGTACAGTTTTAGTAGAAATACCAACAAATGGTGTATTGTGGCCTAGTAATTGTGATGGATTTACTAGCTTCAGGATCAAGACTGCATTGAATTGAAATGAACACTCAACAATAGTGATGTTCTCTGACTTGTCTAAGAAATCCTTCAGCTCATTACTTAGAGGTATGACCTGCCTCTGAAGCAGTCCGTCATTTAGAAATATCTATCATTTCATTTCTTGGTTTTATCATCTCATTTTCAGCTCATTACTTAGAGGTATGACCTGCCTCTGAAGCAGTCCGTCATTTAGAAATATCTATCATTTCATTTCTTGTTTTTATCATCTCATTTTCAGCTCATTACTTAGAGGTATGACCTGCCTCTGAAGCAGTCCGTCATTTAGAAATATCTATCATTTCATTTCTTGTTTTTATCATCTCATTTTCAGCTCATTACTTAGAGGTACGACCTGCCTCTGAAGCAGTTAGTAAGTAAGAAATATCCATCATTTGATTTTTTTGTGACATTTTTCATGCTTGTTTGGAACCAAATATTTAACATATTGACAAGCTCTGTAATGAAGTGATATTTAATATTTGTTTGGTTTTTAGAAGAAATCTTGGCAAGTCTCACAGGAATAGGAGTTCAATTATTATATAAAACGTACTGAGGTCAGTCGGTTTGGAAATAGAGATTGTAAAATTGTCAGGAAAAAGACATAGTAGTTTAAGTGTGTATGTAATGACATCTGTTTTAACAAGGCTTTTCCGACAGAAACCGGCCTCTATATTAAATTATGTGCATGGAAAACAATGGCTACCAAATTAAAAAAATGTATTGCTTGAATGAAATCTCTGCTAAAATAAACCAATGGTAAAAATCATTAGAAAATTTCCCTGTGCTGAAGATTTCTTCAAGTGTATATTTTTTCGAAACATTGGTAGTTTTAGTGAACGAGGAATTTGGATGCCTTTGATGCTTGCCTGGTATGGTGGAATGTATTTTATCAGTGAAACTTATGAGTTTTACCTTGACAAGGTATCTGTGATATGTATCGTGTCAACCTATAATAAACACATCTCTGTATACCCTGGGCTTGTCTTTGTTGTGTTTATCGTTACTTCATATTTAATTCTGATTATCTGTCTTAAAGAAATAAAATGACTATATATGGTATCAACAAATTTAACTCTATTGTATTTCTGTGTCCACTTAAAATTTCCTCATGGTACAGTATGTAATTTGAAAACTGTTTACATATGTGAAATCGGATTGGAATGAATTGTCACACTTTTAGACCTTAGGAACTTAAATAGCGTTTTTCCATCTTAAATCCTGGAAAATGCCAAGTTTTGATTGTTTAATATGTTTGTTTCACTAAAACCTCAATATCTGGATTTTAGGACTTCGGTTATTGAGAAGATGTCATTTAATTTTTCATTTTTCTTCATTCAATTTGCTTATTGTGACCTTGAATATAGGTCTTTCCTTTAGCAAACATTATACGGCTTCATTCAATCTCTGCTTATCTTGATGTTACCTTTTTAGCCCAATCATAGATGGTCTTTCCTTTAGCAAACATTATTGTCCCTACATTGCACATTTTTAGCTTTTGAATTCATCTTTGATTAAAGTAAAAGATTGTTACCGCTCTTTCTCAGAAAGTACTAGATGGATCTTTCTCAAATTTCATATGCAGTTTCCCCTTGCTCCCTATCTTGATGTTTGTTAGGCTATTTCTAGGATTTTTTCATATGCCCACCATCATCAGAAAAGTGGTGGGGTATTTCTCAAATTTCATATGCAGGTTCCCCTTGCCCCTAGTTGTGCATTGTACCTTTTTGGACTGATTTGAAACAATTTTTGTTAGGCAGCTATTTTGGAAGTAAACGATTGTTACGGCTATTTCTAGGAAAGTACTGGATGGATCTTTCTCAAATTTCATATGCAGGTTCCCCTTTGTCCCTAGTTGTGCATTGTACCTTTTTTGGACTGATTCAAATTCAAGATGGCTGACAGGCGGCCATCTTGGAGTTTGAAAGTAAAAGTTTGTTACCGCTATTTCTAGGAAAGTACTGGATGGATCTTTCTCAAATTTCATATGCAGGTTCCCCTTGGTCCCTAGTTGTGCATTGTACCTTTTTGGACTGATTTGAATTCAAGATGGCCGGCAGGCAGCCATCTTGGATTTTGGAAGTAAACGATTGTTACGGCTATTTCTAGGAAAGTACTGGATGGATCTTTCTCAAATTTCATATGCAGGTTCCCCTTGGTCCCTAGTTGTGCATTGTACCTTTTTTGGACTGATTCAAATTCAAGATGGCTAACAGGCGGCCATCTTGGAGATTGAAAGTAAAGGTTTGTTACCGCTATTTCTGGGAAAGTACTGGATGGATCTTTCTCAAATTTCATATGCAGGTTCCCCTTGGTCCCTAGTTGTGCATTGTACCTTTTTGGACTGATCTGAAATCAAGATGGCTGACAGGCAGCCATCTTGGATTTTGAGAGTAAAGTCTTGTTACCGCTATTTCTGAGGAAGTACTGGATGGATACTGCTGATATTTCATAGGTATTGGTTTCCCTTGGTCCCTAGTTGTGCATTGTACTTTTTTGGACTGATTTGAAATCAAGTTGGCCCACAGGCAGCCATCTTGGACAGCACAAGCATATTTTCTTCGATATTCTTTCATATTGATTCAAGACCATGTCCATTATCCACCTGTAACTGACTGCTATCTAATAATACTTTGGGATCTTTTTTCAAATGATGTTTGCTAATAGGTGCTTAATAAAAATATCTTGTGCCATCATTGAGAACATTCAATGAAGACCAGTTCATGAACATTTACAAAACCTGTAACACAAAAAAAATAAATCTTCAAGAACTGAAAACAGATCCTCAAATGGTGGGCGCCAAGATCCCTCTGGGATCTCTTGTTTATTATTGAAGTGCTTCATCAAATTTTACCTCTGTAATCTTGAATGTGGATCAATGTTTTTTCTTTTTGACAAACATTGCAGACTTCATGTGAGGAACGTATCTGCCAAATATCTTCATTCTTGGACTTTTGGTGACGAAGAAGTTATTTAAATAAAGAACACTGACGCTGGACGGACATGTGCCATGGAATAAGCTCTCTTGTCTTCCGGTTAAGTGAACATAAAAGCTGGCAGTTATGAGAAGCTACTGAGGACTTTCGATTACAGAAGATGTACTGATTTTCCTTGCTTGCGGAACTTACTTTCTATGAAGCCAACAGCCATCTTGAAATAAAAATTCTGGAGTAATATATTTAACAGACAAAGCAGGGAATGGAGAAAGATTAGCTGTCATTGAACCTGACATTCGGTGTATGTGAGTACTGCAGGTATAGCTTTCAATCACCCAGTCCATCATCCATTGGTATTCCATAATCACCACATTTGCATTAATTAATATGTGCAAGTCTGGGATATCTTTATAGTTTTCATGATATTTATAGACACATATACTGTTTACAAATACCTGAAATCAACAGTCCAAACTGTTCCATCAGATAATGAACTTTACTACAATCACAAACATCCAATGAGGTTGCCTTTTACGTGACAATAATAATTAAACCATTAGATGCCGTAGATTCAAATAATGAGGCAAATGTCATAGAACACAGCTGTCTCGTCCTTCTAAGACTCAATGATGGTAATTTACGGGCCTGATTTTTAAAACGTATTGGCCATGGAGGGAAATCAAATTTGATAACAAGAAGAGTCAAAATCATGGAAATGTCACACTCTTATCTAACGGCTGTGTTGTGAGAATTTCTATTCTGTGTGAGTACTTTCTCTTTTGAGAGTGAAATATTTTGGGAATGTCACATGAATGTCTAATAAATCTTTAATCTGAAGCCTTATTCGTCACTTTTATTTTCGCGGTCAATCTATAATTTGTGTTACACAGTATGGCATCAAATCAAGAAATGATCTAAATTTATCAAAAAGTTAGAAAAACTGTTCAGTGGATCTTAAATACTCCAGATAGTGGAGGTTGAAAACTAGATCTATTTTGTACAATGTTTATATTCTAGGTTAAAAATAAAAACAGACAGGTTTTTAATTACTAATCCCATCTATATATAGACTTACAAGGTCATTGACAACATGAAACAAATGTATTGAAACTCTGATGCTCATTTAAACTGTATAATAGCATGTTTGTCTTTCACTGAATAAGTTCAAGTTTTGATCCTGATTTGGCTCTTGGAGGCAAATCATTCAAGACAAGTCCCGTAACATCCGTCGGAGAATTTTTCCTGAAGGAGATTTTGGAATTTCGTTTAGAAATTCTACTCCCCCTCTCAGTTTCTTGAACGGAGTAACGTTTTCTGAAAATAAAATTATTAACACGATATCGAAGGTTTTACTTTAAGTTACATCTTTTTTGTCTGTAAGATTGTCAATGTTTATAAACATTTCAGATTCACGTGAATCATGAATCAATTGTACACAAGACACACAAGTGAATAACACTTTTAATACAGAGTTAGATACAGTAGAGCCGAACAATAAATTGAACTGTATCACGCAGTTGCTTCTAAGATTCGTTCGTGATGCTAAGGGCCTAAATTTGAAGACAAAGAGGCCACTGAGGAAAAATCCAAAGTGATCGAAAGAAAGCCCAAATCTAGAGGGGGAGACGCACCAGCCCCATCATTCAATAAATCTCGCAATCTTCATATATCTGATAATGTTAGAAGAGCGTCATGTATATACATATGACAATTATTTATGATCAAAATACGATATTTCTTGTTATTATCTCATGTAGGTTTTTTTTTTAATTTTCAGTAAAATTTTTACGTTTCTTGAGCCTGTATTATATATATCTAAATGAAAAGTAGACTGCTTATCAATTTATATAAAGATAATTAATTCATTATTTATGACATCAACAGAATTTTAAGAATAAAGATATATACCTTCAACAAATCTGGATACGTCTTCAGGAGTGACTTTGCTGTTTGGTTTAGGTACTATAAAGGCACGAGGTATTTCTCCAGCCCTCTCGTCTGCTACTCCTACCACAGCGACGTCTTGTACCCCGGGGTGTCTTAGAAGCAGATCCTCAAGTTCTGCAGGAGCAACCTGTGTGGCGTTAAAACCACTTTCGTATTACTATTCAACCAACGGTTATCCATGTCGTCTCATTTACTTGTAAATACAGCCTCGGTTTTCTTTCTTTTTTTAGTTTAGCTTGTGTTCCAGAAATAAGAAAAAAACATTTCTCCGAACGGATGCAGCAAAAAAATCATTACCCTGGCATTAATCTTACATTTAATTAAAACTTAAAGGTCATTATAATATAATCAACTGAAATGTTTAAACACTTTTTAAATATTCATTTTTTGTGCAAATGACTAAATTCTGTATAAACAAACCTGTAATCCTTTGTACTTGATTAATTCCTTTAGTCTGTCTGTGATCACAAAACTGCCGTCTTCTCTAGCGTAACCAACGTCACCTAGAGTGAAAAAAACATAATACCATTATCACGCTTGATTTGGCTGAGAAGAAAGTCATTTTAACAATATTGCTTACTTTCCCGGAATAAAGTATTTGTTACACTTAATTTTTGCCAAAACCAAGTCATAAATAAAAAATGAAATTGAAAGATTAATGAAACACATATCTTACAAAAATTATTGTTAGCTGTTTCGTTGAATGATTATTATTTGTGACGTCACATTAGTACGAGCTTTATAATTTACAAGACGACTCTGTCTATGCGTACCAGTTTGAGTAGACCACAATATCACGTCTGTTTTACTGGGGATGCCTAATTTACCATGTTTGTATATAAACATGTACCTGTATAAAGCCAGCCATCTTTAATCATGTTGTTCGTAGCTTCCTCGTTGTTAAGGTACCCTTTCATGACTTGTGGTCCACGAATACACAACTCCCCTGTTTTTCCGGGACCAAGAGAAGCTCCCGTATCAGGACACACAATCTGCCGACAGGACAAGATTGACACAAAATAAATGTGATATAGGTCCAGCAGATAACAAGGAATTACTCCTGTTTTATTCGGTACTGTAAAATCATTCATTTCCGTGACGGTTCTATTTTTGCATATTTCGTTGATTTCGCAATCTTCAATTTTACTTGAACACGAAATGAAAAAAACTTTTTTTTTTTTTGAGTACTGTGTTTACACAAAAGGAAGTGAAAATGAATTAGTATTCTTTAGAAAAGTCACGAAAATTATGACCCACGAAAATATATGATTTCACAGTAATGGTCTCTAACTAATCTATGGTTGATGGACTTTAAAAGATCTAAATGTTTTGGGTTCCACATACAAAGCTCTGCTGTATTATAGGGTTGAAGGTAAGAAAACCCCCAAATGATTTTTGATACGCATGGGTAGACTTGCTCTGATTCACTGAAGAGCAAAATAAAGTTTGGTTACAATTCGTCCTACTTTTTCAAAGTGATACAAAGGTTTGTTCCCTAAATGTATTGTTACATGACGTAAAATACCATGACAACAGTGTTAGATACTAACTTTCCTACCGTCCCTATGTGGTGATACATGACGTAAGTTACCATGACAACAGTGTTGGATACTAACTGTCCTACCGTCCCTATGTGATGATGCATGAGGTACGTTACCATGACAGCAGTGTTGGATACTAACTGTCCTACCGTCCCTATGTGATACCACATGAGACACGTTACCATGACAGCAGTGTTGAATACTAACTGTCCTACCGTCCCTAAGTAATGATGCATGAGGTACATTACCATGACAGCAGTATTGGGTACTAACGGTCCTACCGTCCCTATGTGATGATGCATGAGGTACGATACCATGACAGCAGTGTTGGATACTAACTGTCCTATCGTCCCTATGTGATGATGCATGAGGTACGTTACCATGACAGCAGTATTGGGTACTAACTGTCCTACCGTCCTTATGTGATGGCACATGGCGTACATTACCATGACAGCAGTATTGGGTACTAACTGTCCTACCATCCCTATGTGATGATGCATGAAGGACGTAACCATGACAACAGTGTTGGATACTAAATGTCCTACCGTCCCTATGTGATGATGCATGAGGTACGTTACCATGACAACAGTGTTAGATACTAACTGTCCTACCGTCCCTATGTGATGATGCATGAAGTACGTTACCAATGACAACAGTATTGGATACTAACTGTCCTACCGTTCCTGTGTGATGATGCATGAGGTACGTTACCATGACAGCAGTGTTGAATACTAACTATCCTACCGTCCCTATGTGATACCACATGAGACAAGTTACCATGACAGCAGTATTAGGTACAAACTGTCCTATCGTCCCTATGTGATACCACATGAGACACGTTACCATGACAGCAGTGTTGGATACTAACTGTCCTACCGTTCCTATGTGATACCACATGAGACACGTTACCATGACAGCAGTGTTGGATACTAACTGTCCTACCGTCCCTATGTGATACCACATGAGACACGTTACCATGACAACAGTGTTGGATACTAACTGTCCTACCGTTCCTATGTGATGATACATGAGGTACGTTACCATGACAGCAGTGTTGGATACTAACTGTCCTACCGTCCCTATGTGATACCACATGAGACACGTTACCATGACAGCAGTGTTGAATACTAACTGTCCTACCGTCCCTAAGTAATGATGCATGAGGTACATTACCATGACAGCAGTATTGGGTACTAACGGTCCTACCGTCCCTATGTGATGATGCATGAGGTACGATACCATGACAGCAGTGTTGGATACTAACTGTCCTATCGTCCCTATGTGATGATGCATGAGGTACGTTACCACGACAGCAGTATTGGGTACTAACTGTCCTACCGTCCTTATGTGATGGCACATGGCGTACATTACCATGACAGCAGTATTGGGTACTAACTGTCCTACCATCCCTATGTGATGATGCATGAAGGACGTAACCATGACAACAGTGTTGGATACTAAATGTCCTACCGTCCCTATGTGATGATGCATGAGGTACGTTACCATGACAACAGTGTTAGATACTAACTGTCCTACCGTCCCTATGTGATGATGCATGAAGTACGTTACCAATGACAACAGTATTGGATACTAACTGTCCTACCGTTCCTGTGTGATGATGCATGAGGTACGTTACCATGACAGCAGTGTTGAATACTAACTATCCTACCGTCCCTATGTGATACCACATGAGACAAGTTACCATGACAGCAGTATTAGGTACAAACTGTCCTATCGTCCCTATGTGATACCACATGAGACACGTTACCATGACAGCAGTGTTGGATACTAACTGTCCTACCGTTCCTATGTGATACCACATGAGACACGTTACCATGACAGCAGTGTTGGATACTAACTGTCCTACCGTCCCTATGTGATACCACATGAGACACGTTACCATGACAACAGTGTTGGATACTAACTGTCCTACCGTTCCTATGTGATGATACATGAGGTACGTTACCATAACAGCAGTGTTGGATACTAAATGTCCTACCGTCCCTATGTGATACCACATGAGACACGTTACCATGACAACAGTGTTATATACTAACCGTCCTACCGTCCCTATGTGATGATGCATGAGGTACGTTACCTTGGCAGCAGTGTTGGGTACTAACGGTCCTACTGTCCCTATGTGATGTGGGGGCAGCGTGTCTATTGTAGCAACTGGACTCAGTTCTGTCATTCCGTAACCTGCATATAAATCATTATCAGATGACAAGGCTTTAAACAAAGTATTATTAAACATTTATAGTTTTAAACACTCCGTTAATTTTCAGAGGGAATTTGAGCGTCACCATTTTAGGTAACATTTTCCCTTAAAGTCTGACAAACCGACCGCACGTGAGCAAGTACGTTAATCCAAAGTAAATATAGCGGATCAAATGAACAAGATACCCTGATCTCTTCGGTTTAAGACCTTCAAAAACAAACTTAGTGACAGCAACCTCAGAAATAAATTTAAAATATAAAATCAGAATTAAGATGAAGCTTTGGAACAGTAGCTCTGACGTGTATTCTCTTGAAACAAAACAAAACGTCACCTGATCACTAAATATTGTTGACATTAGACGTAAGTATGATATAAGTACTAATTAGTTGTACCAATAGTTAATTGACAAGAAATACATATCTAAAGTATATTTCTATTTTATTTTCCGATTCATTGACCTCTGTAAAAATAATTACAATTTGTATATAAGCATTTAGTCGAACAGAGAAAATATAATCCATCGAAAACAGCAACATTTACAGTATTAGCAATGACTTGTTCTCATTCCCTACATAATATTAAGAAACCCTGTAACACAGGCCAAATTGAGACTAGGTCTACACCAGGTACTGTAACAATATCGGTGTTTCTATAGTAAGCCAGTAATAAAATCGTAAAAATTGGCCACAGGCACTTAAGTCTTTCATCAGTTGTCGAAATGTGTGTCAATAAATTTTGGTATCAGAAACGAACAGGCGTTCCTAGTGTATACCTTACGGGACCCAGTTTTATAACATTACAGCTTCCAGTAAAAAGCACAACATGGAAATCATTCTCAAGACAAAGTACCTTTAATCCCAACCAATTAAGACCACTAATTTTGGTGAAATTATTTAAGTCACAAATGCAACATGGAGGCTTGTCCATATCTGATTCTTTTAAAATGTCTTGTTCTGTGACACTACTGCAATTGTTAGAGACTTACTCGTTGTTGCCTTCATGTAGTCATCAAAGTATATGGTTCACAGATGGAAAATACTAAATTGGTAACGAAAGTTCACAGCAATTAAACTGTAATTTAATATCACCGTTACCTTGACAAACGGGCCGCTTAAGTCTGTTCTCATACTCCCGACTTATTGACTGTCCTAGCGGAGCAGCAGCACACACATGGCGACTGATGCTGGAAATGTCAAACTTGTCTACCATGGGATGTCTGGCCAGAAACAAAGCTACAGGTGGTACCATGAACAAGACGGTCACCTGTCAAGCCACAAATAGAATATCCATAACACAGCTGTGTTTATTTTAAGTGAATTCAACAGCTCCCAATTTCAAGAATGCTTAGAGATGTCTGTTTAGGCTAAACGTACTCAGTACGCATAGCCTATTGCGACGGCCTTTCAGACAAAATTTACCGATCCTGGCTTTCTCATTGGCTGAAATATCGAAAAGAGTTAGAGCCCTCTAGCGGCAATTTTCACGTAAATAATGCCGCGATCTTTCAAATCTTTTAAAAGCATCCAAAATAAGTTTATTTTTTAATAACAATACGATTACTATATATTTCAAAAAAGAAGCACAGTGTGGTTGAACTATTGATAAATTTTGAACAATATATTTTACGGAATTCTCGACATGACGTAAACGTACAGAACACTGTACGTGCGAGTTGGCGCCATGATAAGAAGCTAGTCTGGGGGCTTGGTTTGAATTATCAACTAACAGCACTGATAAACAAACAAAACTTACAAACAGAACATCAATTTTCCTTTAATCCTTGTTGTTGTGGCAAGATCGTCTTAATATATAACATCACTTTACCTCATTAGACGTCACAAAATTGGACTGTTCGTCCCACGCGCACACCCGCCGATATGACACTTTTTTCAGGATTTTCACACCCACCGCCATGACACTTTTTCAAGTTTTTGAAGATAAAAAGTTTGCGTTTCGTAGGCAAGGTACATTTGGTGCTCATGTTTTATGAATGATATATTTTTGATACTGTACTGATCAAGATGTTGACTTTGTTATAACTTATATTTTTTGTCTTTGAGTTTTATTTGATGAAGGTTGATTGTGCTGATTTCTCAAGGTTTGTTTATGTCTATCAAAGTTCCTTGAAATAAAAATATTCCTTCAAACAAAGCGCGTATATAAAACCCCAAAATATTCATGTTTATAATTATCAATTAACTAAAACGAAATATTTCCACAACATGCTTATTCATTTAGCGTGTCATGGTGACATTATTTAATGCATTGGAGATCAGAAAAAGTAGTAGCTATAGTGAAAATATTGTAAATTTTGTATATATATGGAAGTCTGGTTTAATCTCATAGAACTATGCCTTTATAGACATAATTACTGGAAGGAAAGTCTAACCAAGGAAGATAGACATGTAAATACATTTAATGTAATTACTTACACTTTAATCTATCTGAAATGCTGTGTACACCTTATCTACTTTCCTCAACTACAAATATAACTATAATAAGTAAGGACTATAACTTTGCAATACATTCAAAATAAAGAAGTAGGTATAAAGTCCTTTCGATTTGTCTAAATCCTCATATTGATAGGATAATAATTGCAACATCTTGGGTATTTCAAAGGTTTTATTTAGTCAACTTCATTATAGAGCTATTTATCATTTGGCTTGTTGGCGATAAATATATGGTTGTGTGTATTTTGTTAATTTTTTTTTTTACCTATTTTGATTTATTCACATTATTGTCGTCAAATTTAAAATAAGAATTAAAAAAGATAAAAAATCGCTTAAAATTAAGAAAAATAGCCTCTGGTTCTCTTATTTTAGTAATTTTTGCATTCCAAAGTGTAGCAGTATGGGGAAAGTAATATAGCTTAGCGGTTATTTGTGAACATTTTTCAATACGTTTAGCCTCTCAGTACTTTCAGTACTTTGATTTTAGTATTAGCATACTGCCTGTTAATTGTTTTCCTCTTAAAGTTAGAAGACGAATTGACAAAAGAATTAGAATTGATGACCTATACAAATCGATGTGTGTAGTTCTAAAAACAACATCAGAAAGGAGTGAACGATTTATTAAACGTACATTTAAGTAAGGCATACCTTATGTCTTTGGATAGTGGTGAGAAATGACTCCGGTTCAAATTCAGGTATGATGACCAATTTAGCTCCGTCTTGCAATGCGCTGAATAGAATGATAAGCATACCGTAAGCATGAAACATCGGTAGGAGACAGAGACTGGTGTCATCAGTGGTGAACGTCAGCAGTGGTCTGGAACGGGTAACGATGCGAATTATACAACTAATGTTTATTTTACACGATAAAAATTTGCATGTACTTTTTGAGTGAACTGTATGTCGTGTTATAGTATCACTATCGGCGGCTAAATTTCGGCAGGCTCAATGCTTGCAATGATACTCTAGTCCAGAAGCGGAAGTCGGTATATCTTATCTGTTGTGTTTTATATCTTATCTGTTGTGTATTTATATCTTATCTGTTGTATATTATATCTTATCTGTTGTGTTTTATATCTTATCTGTTGTGTTTTATACCTTATCTGTTGTGTTTTTATATCTTATCTGTTGTGTTTTTATATTTTATCTGTTGTGTATTTATATCTTATCTGTTGGGGTTTATATCTTATCTGTTGTGTATTTATATCTTATCTGTTGGGGTTTTATATCTTATCTGTTGGGGTTTTATATCTTATCTGTTGTGTTTTTAAACCTTATCTGTTGTGTTTTAAAACCTTATCTGTTGTGTTTTTATATCTTATCTGTTGTGTTTTATATCTGATCTGTTGTGTTTTATATCTTATCTGTTGTGTTTAATATCCTATCTGTTTTGTTTTATATCTTATCTGTTGTGGTTTTATATCTTATCTGTTGTGTATTTATATCTGTTGTGTATTTATATCTTATCTGTTGTGTTTTTATACCTTATCTGTTGTGTATTTATATCTTATCTATTGTGTATTGATATCTTATCTGTTGTGTTTTATATCTTATCTGTTGGGGTTTTATATCTTATCTGTTGTTGTTTTATATCTTATCTGTTGGGGTTTTATATCTTATCTGTTGTGTATTTATATCTTATCTGTTGTGTATTTATATCTTATCTGTTGTGTTATATATATCTTATCTGTTGTGTTTTTATATCTTATCTGTTGTGTTTTTATACCTTATCCGTTGTGTATTTATATCTTATCTGTTGTGTTTGATATCTTATCTGTTGTGTTTTATCTGTTGTATATTTATATCTTATCTGTTGTGTTTTATATCTTATCTGTTGTGTTTTATATCATATCTGTTGGGGTTTTATATCTTATCTGTTGTGTATTTATATCTTATCTGTTGTATATTTATATCTTATCTGTTGTGTTTGATATCTTATCTGTTGTGTTTTTATATCTTATCTGTTGTGTTTTTATATCTTATCCGTTGTGTATTTATATCTTATCTGTTGTGTATTTATATCTTATCTGTTGTGTTTTTATATCTTATCTGTTGTGTATTTATATCTTATCTGTTGTGTATTTATATCTTATCTGTTGTGTTTTATATACCTTATCTGTTGTGTTTTTATATCTTATCTGTTGTGTTTTTATACCTTATCTGTTGTGTTTTTATACCTTATCTGTTGTGTATTTCTTATATCTTATCTGTTGTGTTTTATATCTTATCTGTTGTGTTTTATATCTTATCTGTTGTGTTTTATACCTTATCTGTTGGGTTTTTATATCTTATCTGTTGTGTATTTATATCTTATCTGTTGTGTTTTATATCTTATCTGTTGTGTTTTATATCTTATCTGTTGTATATTTATATCTTATCTGTTGTGTTTTATATCTTATCTGTTGTGTTTTATATCTTATCTGTTGTGTTTTATATCTTATCTGTTGTGTTTTATATCTTATCTGTTGTGTATTTATATCTTATCTGTTGTATATTTATATCTTATCTGTTGTGTTTTATATCTTATCTGTTGTGTTTTTATATCTTATCTGTTGTGTTTTTATATCTTATCTGTTGTGTATTTATATCTTATCTGTTGTGTATTTATATCTATCTGTTGTGTTTTTATATCTTATCTGTTGTGTATTTATATCTTATCTGTTGTGTATTTATATCTTATCTGTTGTGTTTTATATACCTTATCTGTTGTGTTTTTATATCTTATCTGTTGTGTTTTTATACCTTATCTGTTGTGTTTTTATACCTTATCTGTTGTGTATTTATATCTTATCTGTTGTGTATTTATATCTTATCTGTTGTGTTTTATATCTTATCTGTTGTGTTTTATATCTTATCTGTTGTGTATTTATATCTTATCTGTTGTGTTTTTTATATCTTATCTGTTGTGTATTTATATCTTATCTGTTGTGTTTTATATACCTTATCTGTTGTGTTTTTATATCTTATCTGTTGTGTTTTTATACCTTATCTGTTGTGTTTTTATATCTTATCTGTTGTGTATTTATATCTTATCTGTTGTATATTATATCTTATCTGTTGTGTTTTATATCTTATCTGTTGTGTTTTATATCTTATCTGTTGTGTTTTATATCTTATCTGTTGGGGTTTTATATCTTATCTGTTGTGTATTTATATCTTATCTGTTGTGTTTTATATCTTATCTGTTGTGTTTTATACCTTATCTGTTGTGAAATTATATCTTATATGTAGTGTATTTATATCTTATCTGTTGTGTTTTATATCTTATCTGTTGGGGTTTTATATCTTATCTGTTGTGTATTTATATCTTATCTGTTGTGTATTTATATCTTATCTGTTGTGTTTTATATTATATCTTATCTGTTGTGTTTTATATCTTATCTGTTGTGTTTTATATCTTATCTGTTGTGTTTTATATCTTATCTGTTGTGTTTTATATCTTATCTGTTATGTATTTATATCTTATCTGTTGTGTATTTATATCTTATCTGTTGTGTTTTTATATCTTATCTGTTGTATATTTATATCTTATCTGTTGTGTATTTATATCTTATCTGTTGTGTATTTATATCTTATCTGTTGTGTTTTATATCTTATCTGTTGTGTTTTATATCTTATCTGTTGGGGTTTTATATCTTATCTGTTGGGTTTTTATACCTTATCTGTTGAAGATTTGATACAATATTCAGATGTGTCAACATGACTCCTTTGGGGAATCCAGTAGTTCCACTGGAGTACGGCAACAGTGCAACATCTTCTTTGGGATTAATTGTGAGGTTCTCAGGGAAGCACGAACCGTCATCGTTGAGTAGGTCTGAGAACGAACGATATCCTTCAGCCTCTCCTACCACTATAATGTTCTGTTAAAAAGAAATATTCTCCTGTGGACTGTAATGTATTTAAGCGTTCACACAAACATATTTTTAGATTAATGCTATTTTTCCTGGTGCAAGATTGTTTGAATTAAGAAAATATAACACATATTTTAAATGAGTTCCGCTGATTGTGGGACCCCTCACTTGAGCGTGCAACAGCCCACCGTCACCTAGGTGTGAGTGAGATAATAACTACCAATATAACGCTAGACACGGGTTATATAACATACATAAAGAAAGCACAAACATAAAACCTAATCAAAGCCAATGTTCTCTTCTATTTCTCTTACGTATACAGAAAATCATTGTTGTAATGACGCGGTATCATAAATTAATTCAGTATGTTTAAATCTAAATATACAAGAGGCCCGTAGAGCCTATATCGTTCTCCTGGTCTAGTTTGATGAAATTAATTGTTTTAAACTAAAGAAAATGCATTTGAAACACCTATTTCTCCTAGTAGTACCCCTCCTCCCCAAGGGAGTTAGATGCAATGTATGAACAAAACTAAGTTCTCTTCACCCAAAGATGCTTCAGATCAAATCTGGAGAAAATTAAATCATTCCGACATTTCAAGAATTTAAAGAATTTGCTCTGTTTCCACTATTCGGCCCATCCCTGATGCCACAGGGGGACGAAACCCACTGCTCATTCAAACCCAATCATATGTCTGTCAAAATTGTGACAGAATCAAGGCATTCCTATACAATTAGAATGTTTCCAAAGTATTTGCCCTGTTCCTCCTATTTTTGCCCTTCCTTCCACCCCCTACCTCCTCCATACGCCTCTCCCGTCCCTGATGACCGAGCCCTAACGTTTATACAAAATTGATTCCCCTAAACCCAAAAATGCTCCGGACAAAAATTCAAATTTGTGCAATATCCATTAATTCCTACAGGAGCAGTAGAATTTTTTAAAACTTGCAAAACTTCCCCTGCTGGGCCCCACCCCACGCGCCCCTGAGGCTGAGAACCAAATTAATACAAACTCGGTTCCTCTGCCCCCAAGGATGCTGCAGACCAAATTTGGTCAAAATCAGTTCAGTTGTTCATGACTAATAGCTATTTTCATTACAAAGTTTGCGGACGTCGGACAACACGTACGTTGCAGCGTTGCTTCAGCTGACTAGTCCTTTGGACCAGATGAGCCAACAGTGAAAACGAACTTATTTTTCCTTTTTTTTTTAAATTTTTTTTGCGCGTTCAAACTTCAGCGTAACATCAATTGTGAAGATATCAGCGCAATGATGATTTCATGTCTTCGCTATAATTGCTGTGTTAACGATATTCAGAAGCTGCAACTCACGCTATCATATTTCAGCGAAATATAGTTCATGCGAAAACGCTGAAATGAGAATACCGCTGAAATATGTCTGTTTACAGTGTATTACAGTATAATGAGTGTTTTAAGTGTATCGTGTTTCATGCTTACACTAATACTAGTTTTCAGGACGCTGTCACTTTCAAGAGCTTCTTTCACATTCGGCAATAGAGATTTGATGACTACCACACCAATAGCTCCGGAATGGCGGAGGTGCCTTGTAAGTTCAGCTGGAATATAAATAATGATTGGACACAGACAATCACATGCAAGTCCCATGATACATAAACAGCATTAACATTTGAAGATAACCAACATCTTTATTTACGTCATAATGATAACTAAACGTAACCCTGGTAAAATACTAGCCGCAACATACCGCTCAGTTAAAGAGAACTTCTCTTTAGCTCGATCGTTTGAGCGTCAGACTTGTAAGCCAGAGGTCTCGGGTTCGAATCCTAGCAGAGGCATTGAAGTAAAGAACGACCTCTGCCAAAAAATGATTTTCCGACATCATACATAACATATTTGAGAAAAGAACCTTAGAATTGTTCTACATACCGGAAGTGTAGACGGGATTCGTGGTAGTGAGCATAATTCCTGATGTCGCACACGCCAGTATGAGGATGGCGTACTCTGTATTATTAGTGGAACACATACAGAGTACATCCCCCTTTCTGTACCCCAGCTTATGTAAGGCACTACACAGTTGTATCACTGCGTCTCTCATTTCCAGGTAGGTGTACGATTTACCTGAACTGTCATCAACCTGAGGAATAAGATCTACTTCATTATTGTTGACAATTAGGAAACACGCCTTTTATTATCATGTTTATTACCATTCAGTCTCTGTCAAACTTTCATACAAATAGAAATAGATGAAGACAAATTATAATAAAACCATGCTAATGTTATGAGCAAAAGTCTAAATTCTCATTTGCTATTCTTGGAAAAAATTAAATTGCATTAATTTTCTATTAAACGAAAAAAGGTAAATACTAATATCAAATATTCAAACTTACAAGTGCCGTTCTGTTTCCGAAAATCTCAAATTTTGGTAAAAGATATTCCGGAAGTGATTCTTCTTTGATGTTTAAATCTGGAAGAGGACTGGTATAAATCACACACTGGGCTGTAGTACTGGAGAATAACTTCCTGGTACCTAGCTGTCTTGTAGGGGTTAAAACCGTAGACGAGATTCTTTTCCTTAGATTCCCGTTTGTTAAATAACGTCGGGAATACGTGCCAATTAGGACTCTCATTCTGCACGTGAATTTCATGTACGTTGTCATGTTGAAATAGAGACAATATTCAGTTCACTGAATATGGATAAGTATTTCAATATACAAATGATGTTGTTTTCGAAAATATTATAACACAGATTTTTAGGTTGTAGAGTTTTCGCCAGCACGGTGTGTTGTACCCCAGCAGTCGATGTATAGAAACCATTGGCGCATAACCTGTAATATCTAGGTCATCCGATGGTGATGTTTGTAAACAACTTGTGTAGATGTGTACAGGGAAAACAAGTGTGGGTGTGTGTGTGCGGAATGATAATGATACTTGCTTGGAGTGAAGGCCAACAGTACAGGTCAAAATATAAACATGTCCAAACGTGGGATACAAAACACTTATACATTCGTGTAATCTACTTAGTGTTTACAAAGATTCACGAAGGACACACAAGTAAATGGCATCATTTCAGTACATGTTTAAAGTTAGAAAGCGCAAAATGATGAATTCAACTGCAAAATATAGCAGTTCTGTCGTTCTAGGACGCAAAATGATTAATTTAACTGCAAAATATAGCAGTTCTGTCTTTCTAGGACGCAAAATTATTAATTCAGCTGCAAAATATAGCAGTTCTGTCTTTCTAGGACGCAAAATGATGAACTCAACTGCAAAATATAGCAGTTCTGTCTTTCTAGGACGCAAAATGATTAATTTAACTGCAAAATATAGCAGTTCTGTTTTTCTAGGACGCAAAATGATTAATTTAACTGCAAAATATAGCAGTTCTGTCTTTCTAGGACGCAAAATGATGAACTCAACTACAAAATATAGCAGTTCTGTCAGTTCTGTCTTTCTAGGACGCAAAATTATTAATTTAACTGCAAAATATAGCAGTTCTGTTTTTCTAGGACGCAAAATGATTAATTTAACTGCAAAATATAGCAGTTCTGTCTTTCTAGGACGCAAAATGATTAATTTAACTGCAAAATATAGCAGTTCTGTCTTTCTAGGACGCAAAATGATTAATTTAACTGCAAAATATAGCAGTTCTGTCGTTCTAGGACGCAAAATGATTAATTTAACTGCAAAATATAGCAGTTCTGTCTTTCTAGGACGCAAAATGATGAACTCAACTACAAAATATAGCAGTTCTGTCCTTCTAGAACGCAAAATGATGAACTCAACTGCAAAATATAGTAGTTCTGTCTTTCTAGGACGCAAAATTATGAATTCAACTGCAAAATATAGCAGTTCTGTTTTTCTAGGACGCAAAATGATTAATTTAGCTGCAAAATATAGCAGTTCTGTCTTTCTAGGACGCAAAATGATGAACTCAACTGCAAAATATAGTAGTTCTGTCTTTCTAGGACGCAAAATTATGAATTCAACTGCAAAATATAGCAGTTCTGTCGTTCTAGGACGCAAAATGATTAATTTCACTGCAAAATATAGCAGTTCTGTCGTTCTAGGACGCAAAATGATTAATTTAACTGCAAAATATAGCAGTTCTGTCTTTCTAGGACGCAAAATGATTAATTTAACTGCAAAATATAGCAGTTCTGTCTTTCTAGGACGCAAAATTATGAATTCAACTGCAAAATATAGCAGTTCTGTCTTTCTAGGACGAAAAATGATTAATTTAACTGCAAAATGTAGCAGTTCTGTCTTTCTAGGACGCAAAATGATTAATTTAACTGCAAAATGTAGCAGTTCTGTCTTTCTAGGACGCAAAATGATTAATCTAACTGCAAAATATAGCAGTTCTGTCTTTCTAGGACGCAAAATGATTAATTTAACTGCAAAATATAGTAGTTCTGTCTTTCTAGGACGCAAAATTATGAATTCAACTGCAAAATATAGCAGTTCTGTCTTTCTAGGGCGCAAAATGATTAATCTAACTGCAAAATATAGCAGTTCTGTCTTTCTAGGACTCATCAGTGATGTTAAGGGTTTAATTGTTGAGAGCTAGGAGGCGAGTATGGAAAATAATTAGCGATTAAATCGTCAAAAATTTTGACGAGGAGCTAAATTTTCTAATTCAAAAATAACTAAATTTCACAATTTCCTATGATAAACCATTTCAAAAGAAATGAGATACGCAAATGAAGTAAAACGTAGCGTGCAGTAGATGTTAAATTGTATCAACAGATGTTATTTATTTGTGTGTACAATCTTTGAGATAATAGATGGTAGACACTGCTGGCGGTTTTTTAGTCCCCGAGATTTGTTGTAATCTGCATGCCACGTTTTAATTCGTACACATGTGCTTGGCGTTGTTCTAACATTATCTGATGTACGAAAATGACGAAGTTGATTTTACTATGGGGCCGCCGTACTTCCACGTCTCGATTTTGACTGTTATTTTTATCCTTTTGATCATCCATAGTCGCCTCCCAAACTTGAAAATTTAGGCCCTTAGCATCACGGACAAAATCTAGTTTAATTCATTGTTTGGCTCTGCTGTATCCAATTCTAAATTTGTATTAAAATATGATATTCAATTTGTTTTTGTTAGTACAGCCTGAAAATATGTCCGTGTGCTTAATCTATACTCAAATCTGAAAACAATATATACAGTTGTTATAACATATACATCACTTTAAGTATTTCGCATTCATTTGACGCATACAATCATCCATACATGCTCAATCTTCAGTCCAAAATTCTTTCATTTTAGCCGACTACCCGTCTATGTTTAACCGTTAATCAAAGATCTTGAAATTTGAAATAGCCTGCATACACCGTCTATAATCGGTACACCGGATGTAGTAACTCCGAAGGGTTCCGACTATCTGCGATTTATTTTTGTCTTGGTCACGGACGATAGTCAGAACTCCTTCCTCCCTATGTAAAAACACCAAATACTTACAACCTCAACAAGGGTCGACACTCGGGCCTTCTTTTATACAGTTTCTTACAGTGCGATAAATCATACATCGATGGAAAGATAAAACTTTTTTTCTGATTAATTTGCATATGTGTCAGAGAAATTAAATGTGCCATGTATCTCCACTCATTTTCATCGACAACTTTCGAGCATGTTTACAATTGCTGCCACTACGCGGAATCTCGCTATACATGTGATTGTTAATCTACTATTTTATTAATTTTTTGGTAAGTAAATTGAATATATTATGAGTGTAGTAATAACAAATAAGATTATATATGTTAACAAGAAATGAGAGACAATTGTCATATTCTTATTTTGGTTACTTCTATTTGTTCCGTTGTATGAATAAAGATGTGTTGTACAAGCAATATATACTAGTCTATCTGAAAAACAATAAGTAAGTATGGTACAGTTTTGTCCTCACAAAGGCAGAGACTCGCTCGTGATTTGCTTTAATATGTATTACAATGTATATGGTTCCATTTTTTTTGTAAGTAAATTCAAGTGGTTCCTTTAAACTACGGACACGGGGGAAATAGTTTTGCTGATTTTTGTCCTTTTCATGTGACAGATAGTTCATGACATGTCCCGTAGAATTCGTCTGAGAATTTTTCCTGAGGGTGACTTTGGTATTTCTTTGAGGAACTCTACTCCTCCTGTCAGTGTCTTGAACGGAGCAACACGCTCTGTCAAATAAATAGAAACTATTAACTAACATGCATTTCTTCCAATACAAGTCAATTATATACATTTCCTACGTTTATCTTGTGATTAGGGCTTTGTTTTATTATTATCATTTCCTGTACACGAGGTGGCGCCACTTGGGTGTTGTTGACGACGCCTTGACAACAAAATGGTTTCAAGAGCAAATAATTCAAGTGATTTTTTTTCGTATACTTTTTTTGCAAATATAGATATCAGGTCTCATGGCAGCTACATATATATCTTCCTATTTAAACTACAAGTATATAAAGTTTAAGGAATGCAAGTAAACATCGTGTTTTTTCAATCGGTAAAAGTAAGGATTAGACCCACTTGTATGCGCAAACGTAATTAAAATGCGCAAATATTGATAAATACACACAGTGATATTGACAAGTAGCTTTTGAACTTGTATGGTTCTGATATAAAAGTCCTACCTTCAACAAATCTGGATACGTCTTCAGGAGTGACTTTGCTGTTTGGTTTAGGTACTATATAGGCACGAGGTATTTCTCCAGCCCTCTCGTCTGGTACTCCTACCACAGCGGCGTCCTGTACTCCGGGGTGTCTTAGTAGCAGATCCTCAAGTTCTGCAGGAGCAACCTGTGTGACACACCAGTATAAAAACTCTTCAACAATGTCTAAATTTATAACAATGATCGGTGAAAAAGGCGTGATGTGTCTATAGGTCTTACAACGTGAACATTAAGATCTTCAACATCATGAAAAAGATAGGAAGTGTCTAGAGATCTTAAATATCATGAAAAAGATGGGAAGTGTCTACATATCTTCAACACCATGAAAGAGGTGTGAAGTGTCTACAGATCTTCAACACCATGAAAAAGATGGGAAGTGTCTACAGATCTTAAACACCATGAAAGAGGTGGGAAGTGTCTACAAATCTTAAACACCATGAAAGAGGTGGGAAGTTTCTACAAATCTTAAACACCATGAAAGAGGTGTGAAGTGTCTACAGATCTTAAACATCATGAAAAAGATGGGAAGTTTCTACAGATCTTAAACACCATGAAAGAGGTGTGAAGTGTCTACAGATCTTAAACATCATGAAAAAGATGGGAAGTTTCTACAGATCTTAAACACCATGAAAGAGGTGGGAAGTGTCTACAAATCTTAAACACCATGAAAGAGGTGGGAAGTTTCTACAAATCTTAAACACCATGAAAGAGGTGTGAAGTGTCTACAGATCTTAAACATCATGAAAAAGATGGGAAGTTTCTACAGATCTTAAACACCATGAAAAAGATGGGAAGTTTCTACAGATCTTAAACACCATGAAAAAGATGGGAAGTTTCTACAGATCTTAAACACCATGAAAGAGGTGTGAAGTGTCCACAGATCTTAAACATCATGAAAAAGATGGGAAGTGTCTACAGATCTTAAACACCATGAAAGAGGTGTGAAGTGTCCACAGATCTTAAACACCATGAAAGAGGTGTGAAGTGTCTACAGATTTTAAACACCATGAAAGAGGTGTGAAGTGTCTACAGATCTTAAACATCATGAAAAAGATTGGAATTGTCTAAGTGAAAGATGTGGGAAGTGTCTACAGATCTTAAACACCATAAAAGAGGTGGGAAGTGTCTACAGATCTTAAACACCATGAAAGAGGTTTGAAGTGTCTACAGATCTTAAACACCATGAAAGAGGTGGTAAGTGTCTACAGATCTTAAACACCATGAAAGAGGTGGGAAGTGTCTACAGATCTTAAACACCATGAAAGAGGTGGGAAGTGTCTACAGATCTTAAACACCATGAAAAAGATAGGAAGTGTCTACAGATCTTAAACACCATGAAAGAGGTGTGAAGTGTCTACAGATCTTAAACACCCTGAAAAAGATTGGAAGTGTCTACAGATCTTCAACACCATGAAAGATGTGGGAAGTGTCTACAGATCTTAAACACCATGAAAGAGATGTGAAGTTTCTACAGATCTTAAACACCATGAAAGAGGTGTGAAGTGTCTACAGATCTTAAACATCATGAAAAAGATGGGAAGTTTCACCACCATGAAAAAGATGGGAAGTTTCTACAGTCTTAAACACCATGAAAAAGATGGGAAGTTTCTACAGATCAAACACCATGAAAGAGGTGTGAAGTGTCCACAGATCTTAGACATCATGAAAAAGATGGGAAGTGTCTACAGATCTTAAACACCATGAAAGAGGTGTGAAGTGTCCACAGATCTTAAACACCATGAAAGAGGTGTGAAGTGTCTACAGATTTTAAACACCATGAAAGAGGTGTGAAGTGTCTACAGATCTTAAACATCATGAAAAAGATTGGAATTGTCTACAGATCTTAAACACCATGAAAGATGTGGGAAGTGTCTACAGATCTTAAACACCATAAAAGAGGTGGGAAGTGTCTACAGATCTTAAACACCATGAAAGAGGTTTGAAGTGTCTACAGATCTTAAACACCATGAAAGAGGTGGTAAGTGTCTACAGATCTTAAACACCATGAAAGAGGTGGGAAGTGTCTACAGATCTTAAACACCATGAAAGAGGTGGGAAGTGTCTACAGATCTTAAACACCATGAAAAAGATGGGAAGTGTCTACAGATCTTAACCACCATGAAAGAGGTTTGAAGTGTCTACAGATCTTAAACACCATGAAAGAGGTGGTAAGTGTCTACAGATCTTAAACACCATGAAAGAGGTGGGAAGTGTCTACAGATCTTAAACACCATGAAAGAGGTGTGAAGTGTCTACAGATCTTAAACATCATGAAAAAGATGGGAAGTGTCTACAGATCTTAAACACCATGAAAGAGGTGATAAGTGTCTACAGATCTTAAACATCATGAAAAAGATGGGAAGTGTCTACAGATCTTAAACACCATGAAAGAGGTGGGAAGTTTCTACAAATCTTAAACACCATGAAAGAGGTGGGAAGTGTCTACAGATCTTAAACACCATGAAAGAGGTGGGAAGTGTCTACAGATCTTAAACACCATGAAAGAGGTGTGAAGTGTCTACATATCTTAAACACAGAAAGAGATGTTAAGTGTCTACAGATCTTAAACACCATGATAAGGTGTGAAGTGTCTAGATATCTTAAACACCATGAAAGAGGTGGTAAGTGTCTAGAGATCTTAAACACCATGAAAGAGGTGGGAAGTTTCTACAGATCTTAAACATCATGAAAAAGATGGGAAGTGTCTACAGATCTTAAACACCATGAAAGAGGTGTGAAGTGTCTACAGATCTTAAACACAGAAAGAGATGTTAAGTGTCTACAGATCTTAAACACCATGATCTTAAACACCATGAAAGAGGTGGTAAGTGTCTAGAGATCTTAAACACCATGAAAGAGGTGGGAAGTTTCTACAGATCTTAAACATCATGAAAAAGATGGGAAGTGTCTACAGATCTTAAACACCATGAAAGAGGTGTGAAGTGTCTACAGATCTTAAACACAGAAAGAGATGTTAAGTGTCTACAGATCTTAAACACCATGATAAGGTGTGAAGTGTCTAGATATCTTAAACACCATGAAAGAGGTGGTAAGTGTCTAGAGATCTTAAACACCATGAAAGAGGTGTGAAGTGTCTAGATATCTTAAACACTATGAAAGAGGTGGTAAGTGTCTAGAGATCTTAAACACCATGAAAGAGGTGGTAAGTGTCTAGAGACCTTAAACACCATGAAAAAAAAATGGGAAGCGTCTACAGATCTTAAACACCGTGAAAGAGATGTGAAGTGTCTACAGATTTTAAACACTATGAAAGAGGTGGGGAGTGTCTACAGATCTTAAACAGCATGAAGGAGGTGGGAAGTGTCTAGAGATCTTCAACATCATGAAAGAGGTGTGAAGTGTCTACAGATCTTAAACACCGTGAAAGAGGTGTGAAGTGTCTACAGATCTTAAACACCATGAACGAGGTGTGGAATGACTACAGATCTTCAACACCATGAACGAGGTGTGGAATGACTACAGATCTTAAACACCATGAACGAGGTGTGGAATGACTACAGATCTTAAACACTATGAAAGAGGTGGGGAGTGTCTACAGATCTTAAACAGCATGAACGAAGTGTGGAATGACTACAGATCTTAAACACCATGAACGAGGTGTGGAATGACTTCAGATCTTAAACACCATGAACGAGGTGTGGAATGACTACAGAACTTAAACAATGAACGAGGTGTGGAATGACTACAGTTCTTAAACACCATGAACGAAGTGTGGAATGACTACAGATCTTAAACACCATGAACGAGGTGTGGAATGACTACAGAACTTAAACACCATGAACGAAGTGTGGAATGACTACAGAACTTAAACACCATGAACGAAGTGTGGAATGACTACAGAACCGCGAACACTATAAGTTTTAGTATTGTAATGATTTTATTTTCCACTTACATCTGTGTTTATAGCTCTGATCGATGCCAAATACATGCTTTGATATGGTAAAGTGAAAGTACGTCTGATCGTATCTTTCAAACGCACGAAAGACCGGAATATCATGACGAGTCCAAAACTCAGTCAATTCCCCTCGAGAACTACAGGTGGGATGATCCAGTTCTTTATAAAGCGCAAGCTGCAGTGCTTTGGTAAATTGCATACCTTTATGCCTCGGCTTTACCAGCCCCTTTCCCCCCTTAGTGTCATAGGCTCGGTTATAACCGGAACAAGGACTTCTAACCTCCAAAAAAGAAAGAAAAATTCTGGTATTTTATGTTCTTATCGGCCACCAGGTGACGACTAGAGAAGGTATGAGTAGCAGTATAGCGTGCATGCAATATAGCAGAGGACTGATAGGGTTTACTGGTGACAGGCCTGAAAGATTGCCTCATCCGATGTCATTAAAGTTGCGTTAGTGAGATAGTCGCTATATGGATCCTGTGAATTGGTTCGTTAGGCCTAGTTCGAACTACGTGTAGATTAGTTCGAGGCGACAGTGAGATTAGTTGCTCAACCCAATAGTTTGCTTGGCCTAGTTCAAACTAAAGAAGTCCCTTCATGCAACTCGGTTTGGCTTGCACTGAATATCCATGCAGTTATAAACCATAAGAGTAGGAAACCCCGCGTAACCGGAGTAATTGCTTTAATAACGCTAAATAAGCGTATCCAGGATCAGAGTTCATTCATTGATGATTCTTAGTCCCCTTAACCTGTACGTAGTGTAATCCGTTTGTATATAGTGTGTTCCAGTCATATGCATATCTGTATATATTTTGCTTCGTCAGCAGTCCCTAAATTCGTCAAGCTAATTCAAATAGATTCCCAACAAGGTAATCTGAGGCTTGCTCACGTTTCTGACCCCCATAACAAATAGTTGATAGGGTTGCACATTACAGTATGATACAAGGTACAAATTATTCCACATCGAAGAACGCACCTGAAGCCCTTTGTATTTGATGAGTTCCTTCAATCTGTCGGCGATGATAAAACAACCGTCGTCTCGCACGAGTCCCAAATCTCCTGATGTGGAAAAAAAACAAGGTGTATGACGGGGAAATAGCTGTTAATATAGTTTAATCAAGAAAACAAGCGATACAGTGACTCTGCCAAAGTACGAACACACAATGTAGATACGGTACATCAAATGATTTACGAACACACAATGTAGATACGGTACATCAAATGATTTACGAACACACAATGTAGATACGGTACATCAAATGATTTACGAACACACAATGTAGATACGGTACATCAAATGATTTACGAACACACAATGTAGATACGGTACATCAAATGATTTACGAACACACAATGTAGATACGGTACATCAAATGATTTACGAACACACAATGTAGATACGGTACATCAAATGATTTACGAACACACAATGTAGATACGGTACATCAAATGATTTACGAACACACAATGTAGATACGGTACATCAAATGATTTACGAACACACAATGTAGATACGGTACATCAAATGATTTACGAACACACAATGTAGATACGGTACATCAAATGATTTACGAACACACAATGTAGATACGGTACATCAAATGATTTACGAACACACAATGATTTACGAACACACAATGTAGATACGGTACATCAAATGATTTACGAACACACAATGTAGATACGGTACATCAAATGATTTACGAACACACAATGTAGATACGGTACATCAAATGATTTACGAACACACAATGTAGATACGGTACATCAAATGATTTACGAACACACAATGTAGATACGGTACATCAAATGATTTACGAACACACAATGTAGATACGGTACATCAAATGATTTACGAACACACAATGTAGAACACACAATACGGTACATCAAATGATTTACGAACACACAATGTAGATACGGTACATCAAATGATTTACGAACACACAATGTAGATACGGTACATCAAATGATTTACGAACACACAATGTAGATACGGTACATCAAATGATTTACGAACACACAATGTAGATACGGTACATCAAATGATTTACGAACACACAATGTAGATACATCAAATGATTTACGTACATCAAAATGATTTACGAACACACAATGTAGATACGGTACATCAAATGATTTACGAACACACAATGTAGATACGGTACATCAAATGATTTACGAACACACAATGTAGATACGGTACATCAAATGATTTACGAACACACAATGTAGATACGGTACATCAAATGATTTACGAACACACAATGTAGATACGGTACATCAAATGATTTACGAACACACAATGTAGATACGGTACATCAAATGATTTACGAACACACAATGTAGATACGGTACATCAAATGATTTACGAACACACAATGTAGATACGGTACATCAAATGATTTACGAACACACAATGTAGATACGGTACACAACACACAATGATTTCAAATGATTTACGAACACACAATGTAGATACGGTACATCAAATGATTTACGAACACACAATGTAGATACGGTACATCAAATGATTTACGAACACACAATGTAGATACGGTACATCAAATGATTTACGAACACACAATGTAGATACACATCAAATGATTTACGTGTACATCAAATGATTTACGAACACACAATGTAGACACGGTACATGATTTACAACACACAATGATTTGATTTACGAACACACAATGTAGACACGGTACATCAAATGATTTACGAACACACAATGTAACACACATCAAATGATTTACGAACACACAATGTAGACACGGTACATCAAATGATTTACGAACACACAATGTAGACACGGTACATCAAATGATTTACGAACACACAATGTAGACACGGTACATCAAATGATTTACGAACACACAATGTAGACACGGTACATCAAATGATTTACGAACACACAATTTACGATTTACGAACACACAATGTAGATACGGTACATCAAATGATTTACGAACACACAATGTAGACACGGTACATCAAATGATTTACGAACACACAATGTAGACACGGTACATCAAATGATTTACGAACACACAATGTAGACACGGTACATCAAATGATTTACGAACACACAATGAAATGATTTACGAACACACAATGTTGATTTACGAACACACAATGTAGATACGGTACATCAAATGATTTACGAACACACAATGTACACACATGATTTACGAACACACAATGTACACGGTACACATGATTTACGAACACACAATGTAGATACGGTACATCAAATGATTTACGAACACACAATGTAGATACGGTACATCAAATGATTTACGAACACACAATGTAGATACGGTACATCAAATGATTTACGAACACACAATGTAGATACGGTACATCAAATGATTTACGAACACACAATGTAGATACGGTACATCAAATGATTTACAACACACATGATTGATTTACGAACACACAATGTAGATACGGTACATCAAATGATTTACGAACACACAATGTAGATACGGTACATCAACATGATTTACGAACACACAATGATTTAGAAATGATTTACGAACACACAATGTAGATACGGTACATCAAATGATTTACGAACACACACACACATCAAATGATTTACGAACACACAAATGATTTAGAACACACAATACGGTACATCAAGTGATTTACGAACACACAATGTAGAATGATTTACGAACACACAATGTAGATACGGTACATCAAATGATTTACGAACACACAATGTAGACACGGTACATCAAATGATTTACGAACACACAATGTAGACACGGTACATCAAATGATTTACGAACACACAATGTAGATACGGTACATCAAATGATTTACGAACACACAATGTAGATACGGTACATCAAATGATTTACGAACACACAATGTAGACACGGTACATCAAATGATTTACGAACACACAATGTAGACACGGTACATCAAATGATTTACGAACACACAATGTAGACACGGTACATCAAATGATTTACTAACACACAATGTAGACACGGTACATCAAATGATTTACGAACACACAATGTAGACACGGTACATCAAATGATTTACGAACACACAATGTAGACACGGTACATCAAATGATTTACGAACACACAATGTAGAATGATTTACGAACACACAATGTAGACACGGTACATCAAATGATTTACGAACACACAATGTAGACACGGTACATCAAATGATTTACGAACACACAATGTAGACACGGTACATCAAATGATTTACGAACACACAATGTAGACACGGTACATCAAATGATTTACGAACACACAATGTAGACACGGTACATCAAATGATTTACGAACACACAATGTAGACACACATCAAATGATTTACGAACACACAATGTAGACACGGTACATCAAATGATTTACGAACACACAATGTAGACACGGTACATCAAATGATTTACGAACACACAATGTAGATACGGTACATCAAATGATTTACGAACACACAATGTAGATACGGTACATCAAATGATTTACGAACACACAATGTAGATACGGTACATCAAATGATTTACGAACACACAATGTAGATACGGTACATCAAATGATTTACGAACACACAATGTAGACACGGTACAACAAATGATTTACGAACACACAATGTAGATACGGTACATCAAATGATTTACGAACACACAATGTAGATACGGTACATCAAATGATTTACGAACACACAATGTAGATACGGTACATCAAATGATTTACGAACACACAATGTAGATACGGTACATCAAATGATTTACGAACACACAATGTAGAAACGGTACATCAAATGATTTACGAACACACACACAATGTAGATACGTACATCAAATGATTTACGAACACACAATGGACATACATCAAATGATTTACGAACACACAATGTAGATACGGTACATCAAATGATTTACGAACACACAATGTAGATACGGTACATCAAATGATTTACGAACACACAATGTAGATACGGTACATCAAATGATTTACGAACACACAATGTAGACACGGTACATCAAATGATTTACGAACACACAATGTAGACACGGTACATCAAATGATTTACGAACACACAATGTAGACACGGTACATCAAATGATTTACGAACACACAATGTAGACACGGTACATCAAATGATTTACGAACACACAATGTAGACACGGTACATCAAATGATTTACGAACACACAATGTAGACACGGTACATCAAATGATTTACGAACACACAATGTAGACACGGTACATCAAATGATTTACGAACACACAATGTAGACACGGTACATCAAATGATTTACGAACACACAATGTAGACACGGTACATCAAATGATTTACGAACACACAATGTAGACACGGTACATCAAATGATTTACGAACACACAATGTAGACACGGTACATCAAATGATTTACGAACACACAATGTAGACACGGTACATCAAATGATTTACGAACACACAATGTAGACACGGTACAACAAATGATTTACGAACACACAATGTAGACACGGTACAACAAATGATTTACGAACACACAATGTAGACACGGTACATCAAATGATTTACGAACACACAATGTAGACACGGTACATCAAATGATTTACGAACACACAATGTAGACACGGTACATCAAATGATTTACGAACACACAATGTAGACACGGTACATCAAATGATTTACGAACACACAATGTAGACACGGTACATCAAATGATTTACGAACACACAATGTAGACACGGTACATCAAATGATTTACGAACACACAATGTAGACACGGTACATCAAATGATTTACGAACACACAATGTAGATACGGTACATCAAATGATTTACGAACACACAATGTAGATACGGTACATCAAATGATTTACGAACACACAATGTAGATACACACAAATGATTTACGAACACACAATGTAGAACACGGTACATCAAATGATTTACGAACACACAATGTAGATACGGTACATCAAATGATTTACGAACACACAATGTAGATACGGTACATCAAAGGATTTCCGATCACACAATGTAGATACGGTACATCAAATGATTTACGAACACACAATGTAGATGATTTACGGTACATCAAATGATTTACGAACACACAATGTAGATACGGTACATCAAATGATTTACGAACACACAATGTAGATACGGTACATCAAATGATTTACGAACACACAATGTAGATACGGTACATCAAATGATTTACGAACACACAATGTAGATACGGTACATCAAATGATTTACGAACACACAATGTAGACACGGTACATCAAATGATTTACGAACACACAATGTAGACACGGTACATCAAATGATTTACGAACACACAATGTAGACACGGTACATCAAATGATTTACGAACACACAATGTAGACACGGTACATCAAATGATTTACGAACACACAATGTAGACACACATCAAATGATTTACGAACACACAATGTAGACACGGTACATCAAATGATTTACGAACACACAATGTAGACACGGTACATCAAATGATTTACGAACACACAATGTAGACACGGTACATCAAATGATTTACGAACACACAATGTAGACACGGTACATCAAATGATTTACGAACACACAATGTAGACACGGTACATCAAATGATTTACGAACACACAATGTAGACACGGTACATCAAATGATTTACGAACACACAATGTAGACACGGTACATCAAATGATTTACGAACACACAATGTAGACACGGTACATCAAATGATTTACGAACACACAATGTAGACACGGTACATCAAATGATTTACGAACACACAATGTAGACACGGTACATCAAATGATTTACGAACACACAATGTAGACACGGTACATCAAATGATTTACGAACACACAATGTAGACACGGTACATCAAATGATTTACGAACACACAATGTAGACACGGTACATCAAATGATTAACGAACACACAATGTAGACACGGTACATCAAATGATTTACGAACACACAATGTAGACACGGTACATCAAATGATTTACGAACACACAATGTAGACACGGTACATCAAATGATTTACGAACACACAATGTAGACACGGTACATCAAATGATTTACGAACACACAATGTAGACACGGTACATCAAATGATTTACGAACACACAATGTAGACACGGTACATCAAATGATTTACGAACACACAATGTAGACACGGTACATCAAATGATTTACGAACACACAATGTAGATACGGTACATCAAATGATTTACGAACACACAATGTAGATACGGTACATCAAATGATTTACGAACACACAATGTAGATACGGTACATCAAATGATTTACGAACACACAATGTAGATACGGTACATCAAATGATTTACGAACACACAATGTAGATACACATCAAATGATTTACGAACACACAATGTATACGGTACATCAAATGATTTACGAACACACAATGTAGATACGGTACATCAAATGATTTACGAACACACAATGTAGATACGGTACATCAAATGATTTACGAACACACAATGTAGATACGGTACATCAAATGATTTACGAACACACAATGTAGATACGGTACATCAAATGATTTACGAACACACAATGTAGATACGGTACATCAAATGATTTACGAACACACAATGTAGATACGGTACATCAAATGATTTACGAACACACAATGTAGATACGGTACATCAAATGATTTACGAACACACAATGTAGATACGGTACATCAAATGATTTACGAACACACAATGTAGATACGGTACATCAAATGATTTACGAACACACAATGTAGATACGGTACATCAAATGATTTACGAACACACAATGTAGATACGGTACATCAAATGATTTACGAACACACAATGTAGATACGGTACATCAAATGATTTACGAACACACAATGTAGATACGGTACATCAAATGATTTACGAACACACAATGTAGATACGGTACATCAAATGATTTACGAACACACAATGTAGACACGGTACACAAATGATTTACGTAACACACAAATGATTACATACAAATGACACACACAATGTAGACACGGTACATCAAATGATTTACGAACACACAATGTAGACACGGTACATCAAATGATTTACGAACACACAATGTAGACACGGTACATCAAATGATTTACGAACACACAATGTAGACACGGTACATCAAATGATTTACGAACACACAATGTAGACACGGTACATCAAATGATTTACGAACACACAATGTAGACACGGTACATCAAATGATTTACGAACACACAATGTAGACACGGTACATCAAATGATTTACGAACACACAATGTAGACACACAATGGTACATCAAATGATTTACGAACACACAATGTAGACACGGTACATCAAATGATTTACGAACACACAATGTAGACACGGTACATCAAATGATTTACGAACACACAATGTAGACACGGTACATCAAATGATTTCAATTTTTCAGTATATTTAAGGGCGTACTTGTATTTAAGCGTGATAACATTGAATATACCACACCACTATACACATAAAAATCTCAAATCTAAAGTCTTAAAAAGAAAGATGAACCGGATTCCTAATTAATAAAAAAATACCGAAATAATTCAATTTGACACGAACCTTGTTAATATCCTTAATAAAGAAGAAACCCTCCCTTCCTCATCATTTTGTATATTTCCAAATGTCTTTTATAAATATTTCCAAAGCCTATACCATGATAAATAAATTTGCGTTAAAATTGAGTTACTCTCTGGTGTATCGTACCTGTATGAAGCCAGCCTTCCCTGATAGTGTCCCTAGTAGCTTCCTCGTTATTCAGATAGCCCTTCATAACATGTGGTCCCTGTATACAAATCTCCCCTGTTTCCCCAGGTCCGAGAGTACCCCCTGTCTCTGGACATACGATCTGATGATTGCCGAAAAAAAACATATATATATATACAACACAATATTATGATACAGATATTTAAGGCTATTGATGGTGGAACCACAACGAAAATAACGATATTTCTATTTCTTTAAAATTAATAAGAGACCTAATTGAAATACAATCGAAATTACGTCCTATCAACAGCCAGGGTCATTTAAGGACGAGTCAGGTTTTGGTGATGGAGATAAGCCGGAGATCCCGTAGATAAACCTCCGACCTGCGGTCAGCACCTGGTGACTGTCCAATGTAGGTCTCGAACCCGCGACCCAGAGTGATACAGACGGTCAGACACCGTAACCACTCAACCAACGCGGTTTCTTAAAATGGCTAACATTGCTACATTACAATATTATCATGAATATGATAAATGATTATGGACTAACAAACAAAAAAATACCTTATTAATATTTTTCATGAATTATGTATTTATCTAAAATGGCTATTCAAATATAGTAAAACTGCAAAATTCATTACTGGCTGGTATGTCTTACAGTAGACTGCCGACGAAAAACACTGTTCTCTAATATTACCTCTTTACGAGATCGGTTACCTTAGCCCTGGAATTCGGTACAAGTAACCCCACTGTTCCAAAGTGATGAGGTGGTTTAGTGTCCAGTGTAGCAAAAGGACTCAATTCTGTCATCCCATACCCTAGAACGACAGTGTGACTCGTGGAGTTTTAGGTGGACACCGTTCCAATTCAACCCAAATGTTGATATTTATTTAGAAAGATACTTGAAGTCATGACATAATTCAGGTTGGAGATATTATGCAAAAACTACTGATTGTAAAGCCGATACTAGTCAGAAGGAACGTATCAATCGATAGTACAAGCAAATGAATAAAAATTGAATGAAAACGAGTTCAAGAGGGTAGTTAAAAATTCTATGCATCCAGATAAATGAAATAAAAATAATATTTCAATTAAAAAATTACATTGTGGAAAAAATTAAAAGAATTACCTTGTAATATTGGTTTCTTCATTCTGTTCTCATATTCCTTACATAGAAACTCTCCCAGGGGAGCTGCAGCACATACGTGTAGTCGTGCGCTTGAAATGTCAAACTTGTCAACGATTGGATGTCTGGCCAGAAATAACGCGATTGGAGGAACCATATACAGCAAGGTCACCTTTCAAAACGAAGGTCAACATGTTAGCACAAACAAGCGGTTATGTAATAGACAAAATAAAAAAAATAGAGAAGTTTGTTTGTAAAAGGTAGATAACGTCGCCACAGTTCGGGCGTTCGTCTTTATGCTTATGAGTTTGATAATACAGCTGGTATAGATTACCTTGTGTTGCTGGATCGTTGTGAGGAAGGACTCCGGTTCAAACTGAGGTAGTATGACTATTTTGCCGCCATCTTGTAAGGTTCCAAATAAAATAACAAGCAAGCCTGCCACGTGAAACATCGGAAGTAGACACATATTGGTGTCGTCTGCGGTGAGAGGAAGTTGTGCCCTGGAGTGGGGGAAGACTAAAGTATGCAATGCTCAAACGTTAATATAAAAAAGATAACTGTTGCTGAAAGGATTATAATCACATTAACTTAATCAGTGAACGTTCGTAGGACTGGCAATAAATGCAATCTGGTGATAATCATATGTACAATTTAGATATTTAATCAAATTATAAATGGTCTGTTATATTTATATTTATTTATTGGAAGAGTTTCCTGAAAATCTGAATATGAATGACTAATGTAAAGATATAATGTGTGTTATTTAGGGCGATGTGCAAAGTGTTGACGTAGATCAACATGGCGGTGAAACGATTCCACAGTACTGTTGTATGATCTCTAATGTTTCTACATGCCGATGAATACAATTCGGATTAACATCGAATTAATGCATTGAACATAGATTCTGACGCTGGGTCTCATTACAGTATCTAGTGACTACCTTACTGAACAGCATACGGGAGGCCCGCCACACGTAACCCATATAAAATTGTAAAATGTCTTGTATAAGGACTCAACTAATTCAGTACGGACCGGTCCGTTTCTCATTTTCCTAAGAAACAAACCAACACAGGTAGGTAGTGTCGAATGAGCTATCATGGCATTGGTTAACGGACTGACGTAATAGCAAAATAAATATTTTATGCAGAATACTTTTCAGAAATATATTATTACATTTCCTTTGCCTAGAATATAAACTGGTTTTCTGCCATAGCTTTTAGTAATGGATTACAAGTGTGTGTGAGGGTGACAGTGTGTGAGAGGGTGACAGTGTGTGAGAGGGTGACAGTGTGTGTGAGGGTGACAGTGTGTGTGAGGGTGACAGTGTGTGAGAGGGTGACAGTATGTGTGAGGTTGACAGTGTGTGTGAGGATAATAGTGTGTATGAGGGTGACAGTGTGTGTAAGGGTGACAGTGTGTGTGAGAGTGACAGTGTGTGTAAGGGTAACAGTGTGTGTGAGGCTGACTGAGTGTGAGGGTGACAGTGTATAAGGGTAACAGTGTGTGTTAGGGTGACAGTGTGTGTAAGGGTGACAGTGTGTGTGAGGGTGAAAGTGAGTGTGAGGGTAACAGTGTGTGTGAGGATGACAGTGTGTGTGAGGGTGACAGTGTGTGTTACAGTAACAGTGTGTGTGAAGATGACAGTGTGTGAGGGTGACAGTGAGTGTGAGGGTGACAGTGTGTGTAACGGTAACAGAGTGTGTGAGGATGACAGTGTGTGTTACGGTAACAGTGTGTGTAAGGGTGACAGTGTGTGTCAGGTTGACAGTGTGTGTAAGGGTGAAAGTGTGTGTGTGAGTGTGTGTGAGGGTGACAGTGTGTGTAAGGGTGAAAGTATGTGTATGGGTGACAGTGTGTGTGAGGGTGACAGTGTGTGTGAGGGTGACTGTGTGTAAGGGTGACAGTATGTGAGGGTGACAGTATATGTGAGGGTGACAGTGTGTAAGGGTGACAGTGTGTGTGAGGGTGACAGTGTGTGTAAGAGTGACAGTGTGTGTGAGGGTGACAGTGTGTGTGAGGGTGACTGTGTGTGTAAGGGTGACAGTATGTGAGGGTGAAAGTGTGTGTGTGACAGTGTGTGTGATGGTGACAGTGTGTGTAAGGGTGACAGTGTGTGTGAGGGTGACTGTGTGTGAGGGTGACTATGTGTGTGAGGGTGACAGTGTGTGTAAGGGTGACAGTGTTTGTAAGGATGACAGTGTGTAAGGGTGACAGTATGTGTGAGGGTGACAGTGTGTGTGAGAGTAATAGTGTGTGTGAGGATTACAGTGTGTGTGAGGGTGACAGTACGTGTGAGGGTGACAGTGTGTTTGAGGGTGACAGTGTGTGTAAGGGTGACAGTGTTTGTAAGGGTGACAGTGTGTAAGAGTGACAGTGTGTAAGGGTGACAGTGTGTGTGAGGGTGACAGTGTGTGTGAGGGTGACTAAGTGTGTGTAAGGGTGACAGTGTGTGTGAGGGTGACAGTGTGTGTGAGGGTGACAGTGTGTATGAGGGTGAGGGCGACAGTGTGTGTGAGGGTGACTGTGTGTGAGGGTGACAGTGTGTGTGAGGGTGACAGTGTTTGTAAGGGTGACAGTGTGTAAGAGTGACAGTGTGTAAGGGTGACAGTGTGTGTGAGGATGACTGTGTGTGAGGGTGACAGTGTGTGAGGGTGACAGTGTGTGTGAGGGTGACAGTGTTTGTAAGGGTGACAGTGTGTAAGAGTGAAAGTGTGTAAGGGTGACAGTGTGTGTGAGGGTGACTAAGTGTGTGTGAGGGTGACTAAGTGTGTGTGAGGGTGACAGTGTGTGTGAGGGTGACAGTGTGTGTGAGGGTGACAGTGTGTGTGAGGGTGTGAGGGTGACAGTGTGAGAGGGTGACAGTGTGTGTGAGGGTGATAGTGTGTGTGAGGGTGACAGTGTGTGAGAGGGTGACAGTGTGTGTGAGGGTGACAGTGTGTGTGAGGGTGACAGTGTGTGTGAGGGTGATAGTGTGTGTGAGGATTACAGTGTGTGTGAGGGTGACAGTATGTGTGAGGGTGACAGTGTGTTTGAGGGTGACAGTGTGTGTGAGGGTGATAGTGTGTGTGTATTTTACACAGAGCTTTGATTTCATTCTTATTGATATGAAAGGGTGAAAATTCTGCAATCTTTTATATATTTCATCATATTCACCTTTATCTACTTGTCTTTTGTTTTGAAAAAGTCTTTACGCATGAATTTTGAATCTTATGTTGACCAATACTTTTAAACCTTCATTATTGATCGTTACGTATTCTGATATCATGTAATTTTACAACATTCCAAAGACTTCTTGTTTTCGTCTTTGATCTGTTTTTATATTATCGATTTCATATTTATGAACATCATTAAGCAATGCCGAATTCTTCGTTATGAAATTTGTATTTCTATGGAAGAAAAGTTTTAGGAAAAGGACGTACCGATTTTGGCATTTTTTTATCCATCTTTCAGTGTCTCTTTTGTCCAAAGAATTGTTGTGAAAATTTAGTGTGGTACAGTTATATAATATCTCTAGTCATTTTGACGATACAGAAAACGCCTTCGGCGCCTATTATTCGAACAGACATATCTTAAAATACATGCATGAGTGCTTAACCAGAAATAATGTGATATAATAGGTGTTAGTACCTTATCTGTTGAAGATTTGATACAATATTCAGATGTGTCAACATGACTCCTTTAGGGAATCCAGTAGTTCCACTGGAGTACGGCAACAGTGCAACATCTTCTTTGGGATTAATTGTGAGGTTCTCAGGGAAGCACGAACCGTCATCGTTGAGTAGGTCTGAGAACGAACGATATCCTTCAGCCTCTCCTACCACTATAATGTTCTGTAGGAGAAAATCCAAATTCAAATTTCATACGGTGAGACATTTCAAATTTGCTGGATTTTTTTATGAAGAGAAACTTTTTTTACTCTATATTTTGGAATAAGTTTTAAATGATAAATATCTTTTATAAATATCTTTATTACTTATTTTTATCTTTTGGATTGTTAACGACGTGACAAATGATTTTGTCCGTTTGTGCTGTTAGTTTTGTATATAGTTCTAATTGTTTTCATTAAAAGGGATATAGTATTTTGTTTATTATATTTAAAATATCAGTATATTCTATTTCAAAACTCACCCTGATCATTGTTTTTAAACTATTGTCACTTGCAAGAGCCTCCTTGACCTTCGGCAATAGGGTTGCCATGACGACCATACCGATGGCTCCAGAATCACCGAGATGGCGTGCGAGCTCGGCTGTAAACAAGTTGATTGAATAAAAGATTGTTTATATGTCAATTGATATTTATAATTTTCTTGCTATTCATGTAAATAATAAAATATCTTATATCTTATAATACTAACTTATTCTCTTTGATTAATACAAAGGTCACCTTGAACTTCAAAACTGAAAGGAAAACGCGAACAGAGGACGTTAAAAAGGCCTCCATGCTCGTAAAATTGATGAAAGGAGCCTGAGACTTTTTCATTTGATAGAGCAAAGAAAAAAGAAATGGAAACAAATACAAGATTCTGTTTATCATATAACTTTGATTCTCTTGCAGCCTTTCACTGTTGACTGATATAAATATACCTTTGCAATGGAAAAAATAGGGAAATTTTACCAATCACAGATCTGATAGCTGATATTTTACCCTTATAAAAACAAAGCAATACGCGATGGATGTCTATGTTATCTACAATTAATGAGTTCATCACACTGACATTTTCTACATACCGGATGTGTAGGTCGGATTTGTGGTAGTGAGTACGATCCCCGAGGTCACACACGCCAGTATGAGGAGGGCAAACTCGGTACTGTTTGAGGAGCACATGCAGATCACGTCACCTTTTCTGTACCCCAGCCTGTACAAGCCACTAGCTACCTTTATTACTGCATCATACATCTCAACATATGTGTACGATTTCCCGGAAATGCCATCAACCTAGGAAATGTACATATAAATTTTGAGTTTTTAGTCCAAAATTAAAAAAAAAAACCCAATAAAACAAAAAAGAAAAATGAAAATGTTGATCCCTTCACGTGCTTTGTAAGACAAACAATAATACATAAAATTTATTTACTTGGTGGAAATAACGAGCAAGTTTAAATATATCGAATAAGGTCTATTTTAGGAATTAATTATCTTAAAAACAATTCGTTTGTAACACGATTACAGTAGAATTATAGGAAGGTTGATTTTCTGTTCACATAGTGACGTTATGATTCGGTAACGTATCCATCTAATCCTCTCTATAAAGCATTTCACTTACAAGTGCCGTCCTGTTTCCAAATCTCTCAAATTTTGGTAAAAGATATTCCGAGATAGATTCTTCCTTGATGTGAATATCCGGGAATGGACTTTTATGAATCACATTGCAGGTAGTTGTACAGGAGAACTCTCTGTGACATAACTGTTTTGTTGTTGATACTTTGGCGAGAGCGGCTATTCTCATCGGAGTATAAATGGTCGGGTAGCGCCGGGAATATGCAGTTAATAAACCCAGTCCGCCTTTCAACTTCCCGCACGTCGTCATGTTTTTGTTGAAGAAATGTTGACTGTTGTTTGTATCGAAGCTTGCGATAGTGACTTAAAACTAGGATATCATGATAATGAATATGCCCTGGCTATGCAGACTGTTTTATCTTCTAGTAATAAACATAGTCAATCCGTCGGGGATATGTAGGTCACTGAATGTACCACTGGCTCGCGTTATTTTAACGTTGTACTATCACACCATGTCAGAAATCATTAGCAGTTATCTATGTACAGGATAAAACACACCTGATCAGAAATTAGATTGTTTAATCTTTTGTTGATGTACTTTGTAGTAAAATACTATAACACAAACAATCGATAAGAAATTAATGAACATACACTACTTAAAAATATATCGGATAACATATATCAGAATATGTAAATGAAAGCGATGTTCCTGAGTTTTCAAACGTCCCACATGCTAAATAGTCCCTCAATAAGTTAGATACAGTAGAGCCACACCCACCCACCCACACACACACACACACACCCTTGCATACAAACAAACATACATACATACACACTACATACATACATACATACATACACAGCCACTACATACACACTACATACATACATACATACATACATACATACATTCATACATACATCGATACATACATACAAACATTGAAAAATTTCTGACCATCTTCCAATACTCGTCTCGATAGATGAAACCGTATTCCCTAGAAAAGAGAAACAAAGGGCAAATGGATTCCCTAAGTGGAATAAAGCATCTTGCTTTCAACTTGGTATGTATTCAACCCAAGTGGAAGAGTCGCTCACCATTCTTCAACTGGATTTGTCTTCAATCAAATGTATGTCCTTAGAAAAATGTCTTGAAAATACAATAAACATTATGAAGTCGGCATCTGAAGAGAACATTCCTGTCGGGAAATTTAAAATGTGTTTAAAACCGTACTGGTACAAGTATCAACTTAACTATCACCATTATAATAAACATTATGATGTCGGCATCTGAAGAGAACATTCCTGTCGGGAAATTTAAGATGTGTTTAAAACCGTACTGGTACAAGTATCAACTTAACTATCACCATTATAATAAACATTATGATGTCGGCATCTGAAGAGAACATTCCTGTCGGGAAATTTAAAATGTGTTTAAAACCGTACTGGTACAAGTATCAACTTAACTATCACCATTATAATATGCGGGCAGCGAGACGCTTATGGATAGCGGACGGAAAACCAAGGACGGAATCAAATGTGATGTACCAAATATATAAAGACAGGAAACGAGAATTTAGAAAACAAGAACGCTACGCGACAAAGAAATGGAACAAGGAAAAACAAGATGAACTATTGAATTCGGCTGAAATAGATATTCAGGAGTTTCATAAAACTGTAAGAAAACAACGTGGCAAGACGCCTATTGATAAATCTCTCATCTACAAAGACACGGTGGCCACAGATGATCGGACAAAGTGTAGTTTATGGGCTCAGTATTACGGAAATTTATTGTCAGCGGATACAGGGGAGTTAATTGACACGCACTTTAAAGCCGAGGTTAATAACAAAATTCAAGAGCTTTTATGTTCAAAAACTTCTACCATTGTAGATAGTGTGCTTGAAGGGGAAATATCAGAAGATGAACTGCAATTTCAAATAAGAAAACTGAAAATTGGTAAGTCCCCAGGGCTTGATGGAATCTACAATGAACATATAAAATATGGCGGAAGAACCCTTTGTCAAATCACTGTGCATTATTTTCAGTATTATAATTTCAAGTGAATATGTTCCACAGAGGTTTAAGGAAGGAATAGTGATACCAATTTTCAAAGGTGGGAATAAAAATCCTTCCGACCCAGCTAGTTATCGCGGAATAACACTGACATCTTCCAAAGTTATTTGAAAAAGTACTACTAGAAAGGATAGAGAAATGGATTATGCAGAACAAGGTTGATTTTCCACATTCTCTACAGTTTGGATTTAGAAGAAATATGGGAGCGATCCCAGCTATCTTCATGTTAAAAGAAATAGTGTCCTTCTATACCGAAAGGAAATCTTCGCTTTACATCGCTTTTTTAGATAACGAGAAGACGTTTGATAGGGTATGGATGAATGGTCTCTTTTATAAAATGTATGAACTTGGTATACGCGGCCGGATGCGGAAAATTATCTTCAACTCTTACATGTACACAAAAGTATGTATTCGACTAAAGGGAGAACTAAGCAACTTCGTACACGTGGCGCGCGGTGTCGGTCAGGGAAAAGTTCTCAGCGCTTTTATATTTAATCTGTATATTGACGGATTGATGAAGGCTATATATGAAACAAAATGTGGCATAAACATTGTGGATAGACATATACCTGGTATTTTACTTGCTGATGACACCTGTCTGATATCTTACGAAACTTAATTGAAACATCAAGAATGTATGCCTTCAAAAGGAAAGTGTGATATACGCAGGAACTGTCATATCCAACATTAATCCTGTAAATAAATGCCTGGACAGGGCTTGCCAAAAACTACAAAGATCATTTCATTCTCTTCGAGATATCGGTCTTCGATTTGGAGAAATTACTCCGATAGCGTCTTCTCTTATCTGGAAACGTGTCATTTTACCCGCCGGCATGTATGCGTGTGAGACGTGGGGAGTAGCGCGCGAGAGAAGTTTGGACAAACTTGAGGTAACCCAACAGAAGTGCTGTCGAATCCTTCAAGGATTTGACAAAAATTCCCCGTCAGAGAGTACCATTGAAACTATTGGAATTTGTAGGTTGACACACTACATAGATAATTACCGATTACTGTTTTTTGGAAGACTGTGTTTGACAGATATCACCAAAATACACAAACACTTGTTTAATTTCAACATAGGAATGTTTCTCATTTTTGGATCATTCGAATGCACGGACATCTTTCGAACACTGATTACTACGGTTTATAAATATGGTCTTGAAGAATATCTGAATAGTTTTATTAAATACGACTGCTTTCCTGCTAAAATCGCTTGGAAATATATTGTAAACAATGCAGTATCAGAGACGTCTGAACTTGAATGGAAACAGCGTATACTAAGGCGTCCAGATCTTACTCGTTTCCAAACCATACATCCAAGAATCGCTCCGCACAAACTGTGGTTACTGTGTTTGGACTTACAGAACATGTGCAGAGAATTTGGATTTCTTGTGAAACTTGGAGCACTACCTATAACAAAGTGTATCTGTGACTCGTGGAAGCAAAATGCGGATGATATTGTGAAACATTTAGTAATTGACTGTTGTATATATATTGACGAAAGAGACAGATTACAAACAACTATTGTGAATCTACTTCCGGTTGTACAGAGTGTCAGTATTTTGAATGATGATGACAGGCTTATAAACTTCCTTCTTGGAGGGGATGATGATGATATGTTGGAAGTTAGTCCCGAACAGTGGAAGATGCTAATGGTGGAATCCGCAAAGACATTCAATAAAATGAAACCAGCGCTAGTGCATTGGCTGCACCGCCTGTAGTGTAATTCAGCCATATTTAACACATATTGTAAAATTTATGAACTCTAAGAAATGAACAGTTAATTGTCATAGGAAAATATCCTTTCTATCTGCAACTTAAAAAAAAGATAATGACATCTAAAACAATGTCAATGTATATTTAAATTCTTTCTTTACATTATCTGTTGAATTAATCTTCATGCATTGGAGGAAATAAAGATATTCAATTCAATTCAATTCATTGATACACACACACTACATACATACATACATACATACATACATACATACATACATACATACATACATACATACACACTACATACATACACACACACACACACACACACATACATACATACATACATACATACATTTAATATGTATGCAATACTTGGATTCGGAATGTCGCATGAACGTCTAGTCCATATTCACTTTCATGTGAATATTTAACAATATTGATGTTTTTTTTTCTAAAACCAGTTTCCATGACGTTATTCTCACCATAACTTTAGTATGCACATTTCCATGAGTTCCTATTCATTTGCATATCATATAAACGTAGATAGCCAAATAAATTCCCTTTAGGGTGCCTCTCCACCTGTCAGTCGTACCTACGTATACTCATGACAAAAACGTTCTTCTTCACAGATGAAAGCGCATGATGGAAAGGAAAGGGGAGGCAAGAATTTTTAAACAAAAAGAGGGAGGGACTCAATAAAGTTATGGCAAGTATTATGCCATGAAAATTGGTTTTACAAGAAAAACCCCAATTTCACTTAATTATTAATAACTGTAACTTTTGTACGCGAATTCGTCTTACCGTAGTGGAGACTCTCACATCCCAGCGCCAAATCTAATGCAGGGCATTAAGAAGGGCAGATATAATAACCAAGGGGAAAATTCGAACACCAAAAAAACCGCCCGTCGACAGATGACGTGGGATCCGACGCTTACTACTGAATAACAGACGGAGGAACAGCCACTGACTGTGCCACAACCAAAGGACTAAGAAAAAACGTCACCAGAAACTGAGATCTCAAGTAAAAGTCAGTAAAGGTGGTCTGTCCTCGCCAGAAGGCGGCTGACAAGATGTATCAAGAGACCTGACCTCACTAGCTCCAACCTTGAACCGCCCACGGATCCCCGCATGGGAGTGGTTGTAAGCAAAGCGGATCACCACACAGATCCATCTAGAGGCTAGAATGGGACTCGCGACTATCTCATCCTCAGCTTAGTCTGACGACTGGGACTCAAAAGGAGCACCATGGAAAGATGGGGCTTCTGATTGCAGATCATCAACCTCGGAGCACTTAATCGAAAGATCGAGAACGTCACACTCTGTTGTGCCTGATCACTCACAGTCCATAGGTTCTGTGGTATCCACATCCCGAGGGAGGAATGCCTTAGGAACAGAACGGGAAGGCATTGGAGTCACCTCCAGTCTGAGCTGTGTGGATTGTCGATGGGGACGTTTACCAGAACGTAAACCCATCTTGACCATAGGGCGCGAAAAAATCTAGATGCACCAAGCCC